TATACAAATACAAACTTTTTATGCATTACTAGCAGTGAATGTGCCATTGCACAAGATATACAATAAAACTCGTGGCTGCGAGAGATCACGCGACCTCGGCTAACGTAAAAACATTTATACCAGAAAAGTGCATCCTAGCGCCATCCAGTATTGATTTCGAAAGTGCAATGCGAAACGCCTTATAATGCTGTTTGTCCACAACAAGCAAGGTGTTTGTCTGAATGAGTGAGTGTGCATATGCGGCAGTGAATTTACCCGCAATCAAACGCGAGAAACACCCATGTCCGTGTGAGAGGTGCACATCACACGCACACGGATAAAATCACGCGATACTCGTGTATCACCCTGACTGAATAAATGGACATTTCTAAATATAACGCGACAACTCCCCGCAGGATGACGCTTCAATGTACTTACTCGCATTAATTTCGATAATCAAATAAATTGAAACTGAACACAAACAAATATAATCATCTAATATAATTACTACTATTATCGTGTTTATACAGTAGTCAAAAATTACTGTCGTTTAGTAAATATATTACCATTAAGTAAAATGACTCTTTCCAAGAATGAGAAAATGATTTTAAGACTTTACGATGTGTTTTCATTCTCCTGGCCAATACAAAACAAAAAATTTGGATTTATTTTAAGAATTCTATGCGTGCTATCATGGATTTCAGCATACGCAACGTTAATATTTATTAATTTCTTCATGTGGACATCGCCAATCGTCAATGTAATAACATATATTAACACATATGTGTTTTTTCTCTCTGGTTTAGCGCTATGGATAACAGGATACAAATATAACAATCGTCTAACTTTAATTTTTCATAAAATAGCTAATGTAGATCGTGAATTACAAATGGAAAATATTAACAACAATATGTCAATATTACATTCAATTTTAATGTGGATGCTGCTGATATTATGTGCAATACTAAGTCTATTTTCTAATTCAATAACTCATGTTGAAAATAACGCCATAGATTACGTTTTCTACGTGGCTCAGTTTATATCCGTATGTGCAGGTCATTCTGTATTTTCAGTATATGTTAATATTGTGAAAGCAATACGAATACGATATCAATTTATCCTGGAAAATGTAATTAAACTAAAGCATGAATTCAATGCTGTCAAGAGAAGAAGACAATTGATATTTCTCCAATCTGCACATTTGAATGTTGGGCAAATTGTGCAAACAATTAATACATATTTTGGTATACCAATAATGGTAATCATAACTGCTGAGTTTATGCAATTCTTATCAGCTGTGTATATGATTTCATTCGGTTTCAAATGCATAGATCTTCATGTACTCTTTGCTGAGTATAAAAGAAACTTTCAATGCTTGTTTATTTTACCAAGTGTGGTGATAATTGGTTACATTGCATATATTTGTGATATTACTGCTAATACGGTAGTATTTATTAATGATTTTAATAAATTTAGCAAATTTTAAACATATTTCAGGGTCGAAAGTGTGGAAAATGTATTCATGATATTTATCTTCACCACATTGAGGATCAATCGTACATTGAAGTATTTTCAATTCAAATGATGATTGGAGATGAAGAATTTACAGCTGCCGATTTTTTTACTTTGAATAAAACTCTAATATTTTCGATTATAGGTGGATTTTTTACTTATTTGATTATATTAATTCAATTCACAAATGAAAATAGTTTGTGTCAATTCTTTAAACAATTATTGTGATATTATTTAATGTATTCATATATTTTATTCCCAATAAAACTTTAATATTTAATTATTACTTGAATTATTTGATTTTAAAATGTTATAGAGTATTTATTCAATAGTTTGTTTGTATCATTGGATTGTTTGTATACAAACGCTTAATTCTATTATTTTGGGTATAAATAAACATTTCTATATTTAACTCACTAATTCAATACTAAAATTAATTGAAATTGAACCCAATTAATATAATTACTAAACATAATTGATCGTGTTGTGGTGTTTAGACAATATTAAACACTTAATGCCACCTTGTAATTATAAAATCATTAAACACAATGACTGTACCACAGAAACATCAAAAATATTTAAGGCTTTTCGCTGCGTTTGCATTCACGTGGCCAATGCAAAACAAAATGTGTAGCATTATATTAACAATTTTCGGTGTCTTTATATGGATTACCGGATATATAATTATATCTTTAATCAATTTCTTCATGTGGACATCGTCACTTGTCACTGCGATAACACAAATTAATATATACGTCTTTGTTATCACAGGTTTAACTTTATGGATAACAGGATATAAATACAACAACCGCCTGGCTTTAATTTTCCAACAATTTGCAAAAGTAGATCGTGAACTTCAGATGAAAAATTTAAACAAAAACAACTTCCATATAACAACAACTGTTATTTGGGCTATACTCATGTTGAGTTCGATATTAAGTCTATATGCTAATGGAAGGGCACATGGGATAAACAGTGGCCTGGATCATATTTTCTTTGGAGGACAGTTTATATGCCTTTTCGCAAGTCATTCACTTTTTACGGTGTACATAAACATTGTGGAAGCAGTGCGATTACGATACCAATTCATGGTAGAACAAGTAATCAAGTTAAAGTGTGAATTTAATGCAGTGAAGAGAAAAAGACAACTGATATGTTTACAATCAGCTCATTTGGATATTTCTCATATTGTTCAGACAACTAATACTACTTTTGGTATCTCAATATTAGCAATAATTACTATGGAGTTTATGCAATTGTTATCAGCTCTTTATATGTTTGCATTTGGTTCAAAATGTATAGATATCGAAATGATTTTTGAGAAATCAACTTACTTGCAATGCTTATTTCTTTTACCAAGTGTGATAATAATTGGGTATATTGCATACATTTGTGAAATTACTATAAATACGGTAATTAAATATGGAAAATGTTTATAACATTACCAAATATTTAATTTTTATTTTTAGAGTCTGAAGTGTGGAAAGTGTATTCACCTTATTCATCTACAGCATATCGAAGACCATTCTTATATTGAAGTGTTTTCGATGCAAATTATGTTTGGAGACGCAAAATTCACAACTGCTGACTTTTTTACTTTGAATAAGACACTAATATTTTCCATAATAGGTGGAATTTTTACTTATTTGATTATTTTAATACAATTTACAAATGAAAACAGTATGTGTAACTTTTTCCATGAAATAATAGAAAACGCTCGTTTATAAATATAAAACTAAATTAAAACCTTTAAATATATTTCTAAATTAATCAATGTGTTTATATTGCATGTATACCAACAATAATAACAATGAATACATGTCACAACCCTTGATTAATGAATATACAATTATACAGTCACTCAGTTAATTAATTAATTAATTGATGACACAAATAGACTACGACAAGTTTTCTCATTACGTAAAATGGCCGAACCAATAAAACACTCAAAATTTTTCATTGTGTTCAACATATTTTCTTGGTCATTGCCAATTTATAAGAATACATATGGAGTAATTATTGCAATTATAATTGCTATTTTATGGATAGCAGGATATATATTCTGGACGTTTACTAATTTCTTCATGTGGGAATCCGGTATTGTGAATCTTATCTCACAAATTAATGTACTTTCACTATTCCTGGCAGGTTTAGCCTTGTGGATTAGTGGGTACAAACATAATAATCGTATATCTCTTATTTGGAAACATTTATCACACATTGATCGCGAACTACGTTTACAACACAGTCAAACAAATACCAAAGTATATATTTTTGGATCTGTGATATTTTGGATGACACTTACAACCTGTTCGTTAATTAATCTTGTAAATACAGCCACAACGCATGCAAATAAGAGTATGTTCCAGTATGGTTTCTATATAACATATTTTACACCGGGTTGTGCACTGTATTCTCTGTTTATATTATTTGTAAACATTGCAGAAGTAGTGCGGCGCCGTTTTAAGTGCATTGTTGAAGATATTAATAAAATAAAAGGCGAAATTAATGATGTTAAACTGAAAAGGCAGTTGATATTGTTACAAATTGCTCATTTGGAAGTTTGCAATGTTGTACACATTATTAATACAACTTTTGGTATATCAGTGCTTGCTGTGATAGGGGTGACTTTTATACAGCTTTTAACTTCTCTCTACATGTTTGCATTTAGTTTAAAATGCTTAGGGATACAATTCTTGTTTCAAGATGGGATAATACATATTTTATTTTTGATTCCTAGTACATCTATTATTGGATATATTTCGTATATATGCGAAATTACTACTAACATGGTAATTATTAGTAAATTTATCACAAATTATATTTATAATTTGCAATTTTTTAGGGTTTGAAGAGTGGGAAAGCTATACACGCTGTTTATTTGCAACAAATTGAAACACAACCAAATGTTGAATTGTTTTCAATGCAAATTTTGTTTGATGACGCTAAATTTACAGCTGCTGACTTTTTTACTTTAAACCGAACTGTCGTTTTCTCTATTATAGGTGGTATCTTTACGTATTTGATTATATTGATTCAATTTACCAATGAACATAGTGTTTGCAATTTTTTTAGTGATATATCTTAAGATTATAAAAATAAACTTATTTTAAACTTACATAATTGACCCAAATTAAAATGCATGAAGAGGAGAATTCTTTTGATCTGCAACTGTTCACAACTGGTGACTCAGACACGACTGAGCCCGTGTTTGTTGTGCTTTAGTACCTGCGCTCAAGCTGCAAATGAGGAGGGAGCAGTGGTGAGAGAGATTGCACCTGGAATGCTGGGCGCCTCAGGCACGTGGCGCACCGTGCATTGCCCTTACCGGCAAATAGTGGTGGGGGAAGCAAAGCTGGCTCATGGCCTGGTTCATCCGCGTGCGGTGCTCATTTCCCCCCACCACTATTTACTGGTTTACTGGTTTTTACATTAGGCATTCTTTGGGTCTGTAGTTAGGATTTCGAAGAAATAGCCCAAGATGCGTGTGTCAACTGATACTTATTACATAGTTAAATAGACAGATATATTAATAAATAAAACACATTTGATAAGTTTATCAAATATCTGGAAAGCTGAGTTCACTTTCATTATCTTCTGAAAGTACTCGCTCGGAAACCAAAGGACTACCCCATACAATAGACTTCTTTGTTTTTGTGATTGAATCACAAACCAAGGATACTGTATTACTTGTAGTAATACTCTCCACTGTATAAGCATGAGGCATTGAAGACTTTCTGTGGCTCATTTTGGGTTTCTTTTGATAAGAATATTCACTTGGAGAGGGCGGTCTTGATGACTAAACAGAATTAAATTTATGATTTAGTTTGTCTTCGTATTTCAATACACTTACTTTATTAAAACTGGACCATCTTCCGCTTTTAGTTTTTCTAAAACTCGAAATAATATTATGGTTACTGCATGGTAACTCTTTATTCTTGTTAAAAAGCTTTAATGATGATTTTTGGTATCCATGATGATTATGACTACTGTTTATTCTAGATACTGGGGTAAATTTAGATGAATATTTTGTTGACTGGGTATCTTGTGGTAAACCGGAAATACCCGGTACAGTAGATTTACAATTATTTTCTTGTAAAACATTCTTGTTATTGAAGAACGTAATAAATGATTCTGGCACCGTTGGTAATTTATTTGCAGTTGATTTTGGTGCAGCTTCTTCAACTTTTTCTGGAGTTAATACTTTTGTTTCTTCAAAAATTGACGTGTTTTGATAATGATCAAGATGTGAAGGCTTGCTTGTGGGTTTATTTGCAGTTGCATCGAATATACTGAAATAATTTCTATTGGTCCCGGTTGATAGGGCAGAATAAGATATGGTGTTGCCAAATGTCTTGGAAGGTAGATATGAATCTGTATTCAAATCAACCATGTCAAAAATGTTGGAGGTTGGTGTAAATATTGGACCAACTCTTTGTTCAGTGTGGGTTTCCATAGGTGTTTCCAATGGTTTAAAAGTATCAAACGTAACATTCACTTTGTTGCCTAAAGGATTACATTTTTGTTCCTTTTGAGTAACATTTGTGGACACAGGATCGTTAAAAATGGAAAATATTTCAGTTGGTGCAGCACTTGATTTTACATCTGCATCCACGTCCTTCTTCTTCACTGATTTTTGAAATGTTGGTTTTATCTTAGTAGCATTTATGTCTATCTTTGAAGCACATTTCTCTGGTTGAAAATATTCTGCCCATTTGTTAACCACTTGCTCGGGAGGCTTCATTGCTGCAAATTTTCCAATACAACTTGTATCAGAACTTAATCCAATGACTGGTTCATTATTATTGTGATCACACCCACTGATTTTATCAATATTAATCTTAGCAGAATTAGTCAAGCGAGCCAAATTTGGTTTATAACCTTTATCAATACATTGCTGAGTTTTCTGGGGTACAATATCGATTAAATCAAACGTGGTAAATTTCTTCTTTTGTCTTGTCTTTACAGTTGGTAAAACAATTGAATTGTGCTCAATCTGGGACAATGGCTTGCGTTGTTGTTCAAAGTTTTGTTGAGGTAAATTAAATATATCCATTGCACATATTTTCATTTTCCTTCGATTTGCACCTACAACCGGCGATTGCGCTTTAGAAGAAACGGAAGTTTTAGTAGATGACGGATATTCATAAGCATCCGTAGAAGATGATGTTAGAGTTGAATTCAGATCAGTGATTAATCCACTGTTTTTAGTTTTATCTGCATCACCGCGGAAGTAATCTTTTATTGTTGTTTTTGGTTTAGTTTTGTGCTGAACATGAAGAGACTTTGGAGAAGAAGGAAAATGCAAAGTAATTTTTGAATTTGCATCAAAACCCACTAAAAATAAATATTTTAAATACGAATTTCCAAAAATTATACTAAATAATACCCCATGAAGTACTGAAAAAGTAGCCAGCTATGTCAACTTTTTCAAATCCTTGTATAACATCAACAACAACTTCTCTGGTATATACAGGAACGTCAAGCATATAATGCAGAGAACATTTGTCTTGAAACAAAACCTGATTGGTAGTCAAATTACCCACTAGCAATACCATCTGATTATTTGGATCAACAACCGATTCAAATAAATTATTTCTATTTATAAGGCGTATAACAATTTCCAATAGGATCATTTTTGTCCCATTGTCTTGGGAATTAGATTTTAGTCTAATATTCATTTCATATTGAGGAATTCTCTCCGATAATCTTACTAAATTCTCGCCTATATTTGTTTTTAAAGCCTAAAGTCAGAACAATTATAATGTATTTAAGAACATTTTAAATCGAAAAACTTACCAAATTTAGAGCGTTGGGTCCTGCATGTGCTAAAGTAGTGAAACTATTTTTACCTAGCCCAGCTAAAATTCTAGCTCTTTGCGTCCCTACTCCTGGCAATTGACGAGCAACATAAATTGAATTCTCCCATAACTTAGCTTTCATACATTTACTCAATAAATGAGCTGAATATGCAGCAGTAAACTTATCATTTGTTTTAAGCAGATACTCCGCCATACATCTAGCGACAGAATCTGCAGTTTTGATAATCTTTTCACTCTCAACTACTAGACCGTGATCGGCAATTGGTAGACAACCTAATACTGCTTGAATTAAGCAATTAACTTTCATTTCTTTAGTTTTTATTTTCCCTGTCATAGGAAAACGTATGGCTTCGCCTTTTGTTGCATTTAATGCATTCAATACCCTTTTCTCACTAACACGTAATGGTAAATCATCAAATTCTTTAGAACGTGCTACGATATGCAAGAGTTCTTCGACTGATTCATTACCGCGAATCTATAACACCAACATTTTTCTATTTATAAAATCAATTGAAGTTATTCATAAAACTTACTTGTGTTAAATTTTTAATTGTTTCGAATTTTAAATAATGTTTTGCCATTAATTCTCCCAAGAATGTTGGCGTTAAACTAGCGTTCTCATCAAGCAACGCCATTCCTGCCGCGGTTAATTTATTGATATCAATTTGATACAGTTGCATTAGTTTCCGAACCATTTGTTGCTGATTTAAACCGAGTGCAATACCATAATGACGCGGATTTTTCGCAGCTCGCACGTATAAAAATGTTGTAGTCAACCACTGCATACACATTGCTAAGTCTGTTAAAGAGCGCAGTGCTATTTCTGAGTTTAAATGTTCAATTAGATGAAGATGTAAACCAGATTCCAACGGGGATCTTCTTAGAACCATTTGTTCATATTTTTGCTTCAATTTATATATGAATATTATTCTTAAATAATTAATAATTGATTATGTTTTACCTTATCTTCGTTTGTTGTCATAATAATCGCAACTGCGGAAGTGTCGTATTGTGGTCTGCCAGCTCTACCGATCATTTGTTGAATTTGACAATCCGTGTAGCTCTGAAACCCACCATTGGCATACATTTTTGTTCCTTTGATTATTACTAAATGCGCTGGTAGATTAACGCCCATAGCTAGCGTTGTGGTTGTTATCAAAACAGGTAAACGTTCTTGGCGGAAAGCATCTTCAATTATTTGAAGTTCATCTTCTAGAATTCCCGCATGATGCACGCCTATTCCATGTTTAATAAGTTGACTTGCTTGTGGATGCGAGATCTTCGTCGAAATGTCTATTAAATATTGTTTCATTTCGATTGATGTTCCTGTTGTAATACATTTAGCCAATTGTTTCGCCGCCATTTCAACTCCGCTTCTTGTACAACAAAATATCTAAAAGTTAAACAATAAACAATTAAATATGATAATTATTACTATCATTAAACATACAAGAGTTGGTTTTCCTTCCGAATGTTCCATGATTAAGTTAATAAGTTTGTAGTTTAAGTTAATGTCAAATTTAAAATACGCTTTGTTTGATGGATAACCATGAATCAGCATTTTTAGCGGCACAGGACGAGTATTTTCGTCAAATGAAAAATGTTCGCAAACACGTCCGTTTAATCCCAACCATTGTGCTAAATCATCCACGTTCGAAGCAGTAGCAGTCGCTGCAATAATACGCAGTGTGTTTGCTGTTAAACGGACTGTTTTCATACGACTGACGATTGCTTCCAATGTTGGTCCGCGTGATTTATCGCCAACTAGTTGTACTTCGTCAATCATAAAAAGGTCTATGTTCTGTATAGCATCTTTATAAAGATGCCACTGTCGCATCATGGAATCCCATTTTTCAGGCGTTGTTATTATAATGTTGTACGAATTTAAATCAATTGCGTATCTTGTGTCGGTTGTTCCCGTTAAGAGTAAGATTCGCAAGTGGAGATATGCGAAACGTGCAGTCCAATCACGATAACGCTCGTTGCATATAGCCTTCATCGGTGCAACTACAAAATTTAGTATTAAATAAATGTAGATATTAATTTAAATACTAATTGTTCTTACCCATAACTATCTGACATGTTTTAAAGTTTGAATCACTGGTGTTGTCATTCTCCATCAAACACTTGATGATTGCCAGCTCGAAAATAACTGTCTTGCCCGATGAAGTTGGTGCAGAAACCACAATTGAGTTATCTATTAAAGATAAGAATTAAAAGCTGGTTTATCCGCTGACCTTGTTTATTTACCTGAGTTGAAGATACTTGGATATATTTCACTTTGAATCCGATTGAAACTGCGGTACTTTGGAAACACATTTCGATACTTTTCTGGCAAACTATCCACGTTCACATAACTTTCCATATTGTTATATCGTATTATGAGGCGTAAACATTACTGTAACAATTAGTCTAAAAGTTTTTGCACTGTTGCTAGTGTTGTGTGCGTCAGCTTTGAAATCTGCACCATTTGTAAACAATATGACAAACACAAAACAATTGAATGCAGTTAATTCTATTGCCACCTAGTGGCGACTAACAGAACTAAACTGGATATTGCTAAAGTATTCAATGACCAAGTTACAATATCATTCACTCGTTTTGTATGGCTAATAATTATTTAATATTGTATTAAACAATCTATTTAAAATAAATTATTATAAATTTCTTCTTATAGACAACGTATGCAACCAACATTACACAATTTTCAGACCGCTTAATATTCAAAAGTCAGAAAATATCATTTTAATCATAAAAATATACAAAAATGGTCAAATTATCACGTGCCTTATGGAAATCAGAACGTGTGCGCCATTTATGGTCCTCAAAATGGGAGTATTTCAGCGCACACGCTATCTACGTCATTTATCAAGCGCACCACTATCAAAACGCAAGCGTACCTCTTAATAATCGCTTACAATTTGGACACGCATTGGTCTGCCTCTTATTAGTGGGTCTACCTCTCCAATACATGCAAACTGTAGTTGGGCAATATTCCCAATCAAGCGCAGCACTCCTCAAAAATATGACGCCAATTGCCCACGGCATTGTCTACAGTTATCTCTTGGTGTCCTTCCTACGACTGATACAGGAAGCAGTCCTAGCAGGAGACGCCATCTTGTATCTTCTAAATTCCATGCAATCGGAACTACCGTGGTTGTCCTGTGAAAAATTCTCTACAGACAACTGTTGGTTTGGATATGAGTGCAAAAATGCACCTTGCTTGAATGAAAACATCACACTTGCTGCCTCAAAATATTGGCACATTACTTTCATGGGTTTGAGAGATGGAGATGGCGGGTATAGTTCCCGAAGTTCGATTGATGTAAGAAGACTGGTAACAACAATATTCACATGGACAATTGTATATATCATACTCTTTCTGTCTAAAAAGTTAATGCCAAAGTTTTTGAGGTACACATTTTTAACATCGATGGCAATGAGACTGATGATATTGTTATTATTGATTCTGGTCAGTTTTCATGGTTTTACGGGATTTGTTTATATTCTATCAACAGCGTATGAAGATCTTTTGAATATTCACACTTGGGCACGACAGTTGATAGGCATGTTGTGTTATATGTCAATTGGGAGAGGAGGTAACATCATGTTAGGTTCCTTTTTTAAATCAAACCAATCAACTGGAATTTTCGCTGTGTTTAGCACCATATTTGTATCTAGTCTTTATATATTAATTTTAGAATCATTTTTGGTTGCGAATGAGTCTCTTGCACATTATACAGGAGTAAAGGATGCATCTTTGGTAACCAAAGCAAATGTACATGAATGTATAGAGTTCATCTTAATTCCTACTTGTTTAGCTTATACAGAATTAACACAGTTCTGGAGTATTCTTTATTTTCTCGCGATGTTTTTGAATTCCACGTGTCATCTTATAGTAAACATAAAAATCATGCATTTGACCTTGGAAGATTTATTCCCTCTTCTAGCTCAATACAGTAAATTCATTCTAATGAGCTCTTACCTTTTGTACATTGTATTGTCAACAGCGTTTGTCACCAAACAGCTGTTTCTTTACACAAATCCTATTCACCGGTACATTTTAGACTTGTTTGAGGCACTTATCACGTTAATATTTGTTTTGTCTGTTGGATGGATCTACGGGGTGCAAAAACTATGTGATGATGTTCATTTTATCATTGGTTCACAACCTACTAAATTCTGGAAAGCATCCTGGTATGTAAGCCCTATTATCATATTCTTGGGATTAGTATTCTACATATTAGACACAGAAGACTTGGAATTTCTGGGTTACTATGAAAAAATTTACGTTATCATTGCGGAGGTTTTTCTCGTTAGTCCAGTTTTGTGTTTGGCTACGTATGAAATGATAAAACACATTCGTAACAGAAAAATTGTTGGTGTCGTCCAGATGACGACCGAATGGGGACCAATTAGTTTTTCGGAACGTCAAGAGAGGAAAATGTTTAATCCTAGAAAGGAAACAAAAGCACGAAGAAGAAATGAACAATGTCAACATAGTTGTTTGCTGAAGTCAACGATATTAGATCAAGTCTTAGCTGAAGAATACGCGCTAAACCTAAACACTCTGGAGACTCAATTTAATTCAGAGCTAGAATTACAAGATCAATTAGAAGAAATCATAACGCGGAATTTGAACGAAGAGGACATTGAACAAACATAACAAGACAATAACAAATGCACAAGAATTAATGATAAAAACTACTTTAGGAGATTATAATTAGTAAAATAGACATCAACAACAACATTCATTTAACTAATATGTAATTAGAAAATGTAACTTTTCCGTTCATAATGTGTGTATTACTTTTTTTGCAAGTAATTATCCAGTTACTATAAGAAGTCACGATGAGTATAGAAAATGATCTGGAATTATTTTTGATTTTTGGCGCATATCTTGGCCTGTTACCACGAAGACAAAACAATACTTTCCAAACCAACACAATAAAACTATGTGTGTGCATAATAATAATATGTGGGCTTACAATTGGATTTCTATTTTCTTCATATAACGATATCGGATTATTTTGGAATGCCGGACTTAAGAATTATGTATTAAGTAGTGTCATAACAAAATTCGTTCAATTTGTAGTACAAAACATAACAGTGGTGTACTTCATTCTGATAACAAGCATATTTAAACGAAACAAGCTAATTATATTGTTTCAATATTTTGATATCTTGGATAACTACTTTAAAATGCAACAAAATTATATTAAAATACCATATCCCAGGGTTGCTTTTTGGATTGCAAATGGCTTCTCGGCTGTAATCTATACTTATACTGGCATTATGTATTATTTTCAGCTGCCTTCGTTTCCTATCAAACATTGATTGACTTATTTGGTAAACACTTGTTTACTTCAATTGTAAGTTTCATAATTATGTTACTATGGATAGCTTTAAAAAGAGCTCGAGTTGTTAACATGATTATTATGGAAATTGGCCGGAGGAGATCCCAAATTGAAATGGATGACTTCCTAAAATCAGTTGATTACTTCTATGACATTATTGAATTAATGAATGATGTTTTTGGTGGAACCTTGTTTTTAATAACAATACACATGATATTTTTCTTATTGCGGCTTATAAGGACTTTTGTTTTAACATATGGTGATATTACAAATAGTAGAATTCTGCAATTAAGTTTAGCATGTTTTCATGTGTGGGTAAGTTTCCAAACGTTTAAAAATTACATTTTGATGTAATGATTATTTTATGTTTTAGATTCAAGTGGTGATTGTTGCCACACTGTGTCAGAAAATATTAGATGAAGGACAGAAAATGATTGTGCTCTCATATAATGCTACATTCTATTATAAAAACGTCCCCACCATGCGTGAAAAATGTGTGTTCTTAGCACAACAAGCAACTGTAAGATGTCCACAATTCTCAGCAGCAGGATTTTTTAATATCGATTATTCAATGTTATTCTTATTTACAAATTTGATTACAACCTATGTAATTGTTATCATACAGTTTAGTCAATATGAAATATGATTAGTTAGATGCAGTTAAAGACTGGTTCAATTGCATTTATCAGTTGTACATGCCTTGCATTCAACAATATTCTTAACTACTTTCTTCATTGCGGTACAGACGTCCATGTGTGGTGGCATTCCTACACAACCTCTTGTAACTATATCATTACTAAGGAAATCAGAAGCTAAAATATAAAGAATTTCATAAATTACAGAGGAAAACATAGCAACCTGCTAGTATTTCATACCTTTAATTTTATTGTAGAAACAATATGGCTTCAATCTCCTATCAAAAACATCTGTTATCTCTTCGGATACATGTTTTTCAATGCTTGGAATCAGGTACATGTCTGGCTTTGGTGTGGTTATCATTAAATCATCAAAAATATTATTGGCAGTCACTTCGAAATGTGAACGGCGCTGACGATACTTAGGCTTGCAGTCTATTGTTACCAGTCCAGTTTCATCAGGATTTGCGCATTCACTGCTTGTTGATCCAACACAGAGGTAACATTTGAGAGCATTAGAACCTAAAACCAAAGCATTAAAGTTTAAAACTTAAGAATTGAGTGTTATATTTACCTTGCAAAGATATAAAGACCAACACTACCGATAAACATATAAACTTCATCATTTTGATCGTAGTAACGTTTAGCAGGTACGACAAATATTGGTTAAATGAATATATCAAGCACGGTTCTTGCAATATATGTAATCATCTTACAATATCATTGGATAAGTTATCAAGTTCAACTAAAAATAGATATTTCATGATGTTAATGAACATTTTGAGTAAATAATCCTTGTACACCCAGAATGTTTGTAAACTATTCGTTTATTTATATAAGATATAAGAAAAGCATTCGAATTTGTCAAAATAAAACAAATGGATACTAAAAATATAATATTTACACATTCATAGATATTAATCGAAAATAAAAATTCGCATATGGTTAAACAGAATTCCAATCCAAATAGAAATGCAGCAAGTGCATAATGAAATGAATCAATATCAATTTAGTGTACATAAAATGCATTTTTCAATAAAGTCACCTTTTCAATTACTCATCAATTAAACAATTATCACATAAATCTTCGCAAAATTACAATGCATTGCAGATAAGACACACAAATTATGTCATTCGACGTCAAATATACCTATTTATATTATATACCTATCTTTAAATGATTTCTTTTCGTCAAGCATAAAGGACAATGCAAATGTAAACATTTTTAGTTCTACAATTACCAACGTAAACGTGCAGATATGTGATCAAATGTAATAGAATCTCCTTCTACTTTTGTTTCTCTCTCGTTTTGTAGCTTTCCATCAGTTTCATATACATTATACATAATCTTATACGGTAAAAAGGTACATAATACAATTATTATCATTAGTCATTAATCATCAAATTGATTATTCGTGTTTGATTCGAAATTTCTCTTGCTATGCACGTTTCTTCACTTTAGATCCGATGGAGTCTTCAATTTAGCTCGTGCCTGCATGAAGACATTGTTTATTCCTTTATCATCTTCATTCTACAATAAAATATAACAATTAGTATAATAATAAAGCAATAAAAATAAGTTTTATTTACTTGTGTGGGTGTTTGAACCTCTTCCAATCGTTTTGCTCGATCCTGAATGACTTTGACAAGTTCAGGCGTTTGTGATGCAAGTTTGTGTTCATATTCCTTGCGCATAATACTATCTTTATGCTTTTCCATTGCTTTGGCAAGTTCTGATTTTTGATTCAAAACGTTCTTCCCTCTGCAAAAAGAAAACGAGTAAAATTTCAGCGCTTCAAGGCATTTAAACATCAAAAAGCAATGAAAATCAGTCAAAGTCTAAGTCCACAAAGTTTGTGGAAATGCAGAAAGTTGAGAAACGTGCCGAATGGCACGAACACCACCAATGGTGTGTATGATTCATCCCCGCAAACCTTATGCACACATAAGGGCACTTTAATTATGAAGAATAGAGGCGCACATGTGCAAGAGCAAGCGCTGCGCGTATTTATGCATCAAAACAAGTGTTAGTACGCTCACATCTTGTGATTGAAAAGCATCTCTCGGTGGAGATTCTGGCGTTCGCCGTTGTGCAGCACGGGGTTGTGCAACTTCCGCGGGATAATGAGCCCGTCCTGGTTGATGAGCGGCGGTGGCGGCGGAAGTGGTACGCCCCTTTGCGTTTCTGGTATCATCGCGTCGTCTTCTCGGTTGTCAACCTCTTCCACTTCACTATTATCAACTAGAAAACACAAAAACACATAGTAAAGTATAAAAAAAACTCAAGTATTGACATAAAATAAAAAATATGTAATACATTGTGCGATATTTTCAAAAAACTTGATTTTACGCGTCACCATTATGGAAAAATTGAAATATCACTCAAGAATCACTTGTCCAGACTGTTATTCTGATCACAATCTAGTCTGATTTCCGTTTTGCAGGTTTCTTTCGACTAATTTAATCAGTAAATGTTCAAGGTCATTGCAATATGCGCATAACTTACCTATATCTCTGCTGTCTAGTTTGGCTTTTAATTCCTGAATAGTATTATCAATAGGATCCTTCGTCAAGTCCTGAAAATAACGAAAAACAGATTAATATAGACGTCATGTGCGCGCATTTCACGGTCATCGTCGACTCGCGTAGAACAAAAATAGAAAAACCGAGTAATAAAAGCAACCGAGCGATGAAATTGACATTGACGAATATATTCCTGCAATATTCACGCATATAAAACTTTGACCTCATAATTATCCTGCTTTCTATCGTTTTGTATTTTTAGAAATTCGATTACTACTCTAGGCTTAACCTTTTGCCAGTGTGCAGCGTGGAAATTTTCAATTATTGCGTCAATTAAAAATAGTTTCATGACATTCACCACGCCATAGATATTTCCGTGACATCATCTGTGAGGTCCTCGTGTTGACGTCATTTGAAACCTTCTCCTTCTTTATTTCTAATAATACGACGACGCAAAAGGTGAGAACGGTTAAGGGCGCGCCTTAATTATCTTCCCTGCACAGGCCAGTGCGTCATTAATCGCTTACATCGGCTTTTTTTGTTAGTTACTGGAGGGCATGAAGTGATTACTATCGAACCGATGCTCGATCTGAGCGCTTCTGAGGCAATTAACTAACGCCTGTGCCTTCATCATCGAATTAGGTTTGGCCACTGGGCGTAATCAGCATATTAAAAAAGTTTAGCTAAAAATAGAAAATAGAAAAATCAAAATCTAGGACATCTAGGACCGTTGTCCGCGAGCATTCAAGCGAAGAATTTAAATTAAAATAATAATAAATTTTCTTATTGAATTCAATTCATATCGATTTCTAATAACTATTCATAAGCTTCAGTTGAAAGCAGGCAGCGATTTCTTATCGCCAATTGCAATTGATTGACATTCAGGCCGATTAAATTAACATCATCCGTGACGAATACGCAATGCATATTGATAGGCTTTCACGTTGTGATTATCGTTTTTTTTTCTTCATCGCTCGTCATTCGTCCACGCCAGACATAACTACATTAACGACGCGAATATAAATAGCCAACACGCTCGCAGGCGTATTGTCCGTGTCGCTCTTTATGTAGGTTACAAGTTCGTAAACGTACGAATTAATATAAACGATTAACTTGTCAATTTGTCTATTGGTATTATTAGGAACCGGTTTTGCTAAAGGCACAGGTTGGAAATCGTCAAAGATTATATTAATATTTATAATTATGGGTTTAATAATTGTTATTATTACATTTTTAAATGTTTTGATAGTAGCTTATTAAGAATTTGAATAAAATTTCTCCAAAATTTATATTTAGTAAATAAAACAGTGAGTATTGTTTAGTACTTCGTAAAAACTTAATTTTCTTCACATTTTTGTGTATTTTATTGTATTTTAACAGTGAATATTTATCTTTTAAACTTAAACACAAGTATTCTGTATTATTATCACGTTTTTAGATGTTTTACTCGTGATTTTTTAAGAATTTGAGTAATATTTCATGAAAATTCTGCTATAATTATACGCTTTGTAATTAAAATCAAAAAATAAAGTTAAGTATTCAGTTAAAAACTTAATTTTCCTCATGTTACTATTGGTTTTATTATATTTTAACAGGGAATATATAGTTTCTAAACATTTTAAAATGTTCTTGTCGTGATTTTTAAAGAATTTTAGTAAAACTTCATAAAAACTCAATAAATGTTGCTATAATAGTACAATTGATAGATAAAAACAAAATAATATTTAGTATTTACCCAAAAACTTAATTTTCTTCATGTTACTATTTGTTTTGTTACATTTTTACAGTGAATATTTGTCTTCTAAGCTCAAACACTAGCAGTTTGTGCTGCTGTATAAGAAAAGGGTTAATTTAAAACAATTTAACTTCATAAATAGTCACTGCTTATGCCTCTCCACGCACATTTCATTCAATAATATAATCTTCTCTTCCATAATTGTAATTATTAATGCGCCAATTGTATAAATGAAACAAATTGAAATAAAACTAAATAATCCTTTGAAATTACGCAGACATGCAGATAAAAATAACATACATGTGTAACATGTGTTTCCCGAGTAAACATTTCACATTTCATCCAAATGTTTGCATCTCTAAGTGTTAATACACATTACAAATGTAGGTACATAAAATTAGTACATTTTTGAGTTGTAATACGCCCAAAAAAGTGATAATATGTTAATATTTTATCACGGTTTTACATTATCATACATTACCGGATATAATACATGTACAAATATGTATAGTTAAATTAAAAATTACGCTGAATAATAGGAAATAATAGTTCACTTACAGTGTCTTGGCAAAATACAATTCAAAATCCAATTTATAAGTTATAACATAATAAATTACCAATCACCGAAAACACAGCACTGATTAAACTGAATAAATTGCATTTTGCGCCATCGACCATCACGATTAAATGTCTCATTCAAGAGCAAAATGAGCGTTTCGTATCACAATCAAAAATATAATGTGGAGCAATTCAAGCGAACAATTCAACACTTACGTGTGATGTGCTTAATGTGTCTATGAGTCTATGACAGGCACGAACCTTTCCGATTCCGATATAAATACGAAATGGTGTGTTTATAAAGGCAATAACCCGCATGATATAAACAATACACGCCTGCCTACCAGCCACCGCCGCCAGCCACCGCGCACGTTGCACTAAGCACAACTAACGAGACGCAAACCGAACAAAAACTGTGCACTCACTCACACATTCGATGAAGTGATGATTAACGCACACTGGAATGTGTGAATATATGACATTTACTCATATATAACAAAAACTGTTGGGTTTCACTGCGGAGGGAACGAAAAAACAACGGAAATGTTCAGAAAACAGTATTGAACTCTAAAAACATTTTTTCGATATGAGAATAAGCGAAATATGGTAGATAAAGAAGAGCAGGAAGTACTTGTGTGAAGTTTATGGCGATTGCGTGAAAAGTATCGTCACACATTGCCAAACAATATGAAAAACACAGATACAATGAAGGCATATCATGAATGGAATATGTTTCTATTAGGAACATGTTTTATTTCATCCGAATGCGGATATGTGACCAGCGACCACAATGCGAAAAGTAACTTCACGTTCCACCAGTGCATTGGGCGTTGGTTGTTCATACTTCAGCGTTGAGAATAATAACATTAATCAGTGATTTGCTAACGATATGCGCTACCGTTGTGGCTAATTACAATGATGTTGTGTGTGTATCAGTGGAACGCGAAACAAAAGCCTCAAGCGTGCGTTAAGCGAGCAACAAGTGTAACAATAGCAAAAAAAGTGAATTTTTTAAAGAGAAAAAGTGCAAAACTTGAATTTTTTCGCTCAACTCACGAAAATAGCAAAGAAATAAATATTTTGAGTAAATTGAGTAAAATTTCATGAACATTCTACTTTAATAAACCGAATTAAAATTAAAAACAGTGAATAATGTTTAGTACTTCAGGAAAAACTTAATTTTCTTCATATTATTCGTTTTAATAGTAAATATTTATTTTCTAGGCTTGTACACCAGCAGTTTGTATTATTATCACGTTTTAAGATGTTCTACTCTTGATTTTTAAAGAATTTCAGAGAAAAAAGTGCAAAAACTTGAAATTTTCACTCAAATTACGAAAATATTGAAGAAAAAATGTGTTCTATATATTTTTGCGAATTAAACAATTATCCAATTAAAGGTAAGTATTTTATTACCAATTTAGGATACAATTACGTGAGTAATAAATCACTTATGTCAATGTGTCACTAATCGATAGTATAACCATTACATGGTTACACTAATATTTAGCTAACGCAAGATAACAGATAAAATTATCTATAATACTGTCTATTATTAGGAAATTTTCAATTATACTATAATAGTTCATCGTAATTGCTTTGAAATCAGTTGAAAAAATTGCAACCCACGCGTGAAATACCAAATTTTATAGCGCTCCCAACGCAATTGCAATTATCCACCATGTTGCATTCGCACATTAATCACTTAAGTATCCCAAAGCGACTGTTGTTGTCGCAAATCTATGGCGCGTTTGCGTTTCATTTCGCGCGGTTGACTCAATTCGATTCATCACGACATGCTTCGACATTTACAAGTTGCGCGGCGCAGAAGTGTGTTGCGGATTGCGATATATAGCAGCAAATTACGCTGTCGCAGCTCAACACGAAAGTAAAACGAGATTATTTACACAGATATGCTGCGTACTTGCTTTGCGTATATGTAGATACGTGTTTAAACGTGTTGGCGTTTAAGAGGCACAGTTTACTCAAGTCTAGCGATAAAATTGCGTAATTGAAGTATTATGTTTGTTAGCTAAGGTTACACTTGCTGAAATGTTGTCATTTGTCATTCTATTCTCGTAACCTAAAAATTTCACACAAATTTATTTTGAGGTTATGTTTTCATGATTCTACCTCTAGTGCCTAATACATATTTATATTGAATGAGTTTTAAGTTACTTTGATGTGTTCCACATGGTTAAACATCGATGATTATAAATAAATAAGCTTTAATGTGATGCGCATTGGTGCGCACGTTTTACATTAGATTTTTTAAAGTCGTTATAGCACTTCAGCTTACAAACGGTCCATTTTTAATGCTTGATCATCAGTGATTTATATTTATTTATTTATTTATTTAAAATATTAATACTTATTGGGACCGTTAGCCTTTTTTTTACCTAGATACATAGTACAATCACTTCAATCGCTTCAAACCTGGTATTTTAAAGGAACTGTAAAGTTGCTTTTATGGTTCATTCGAGAATAATGTAATGTCATTATAAAAATTAGTTGGCCGAGAAGATTATATGAAGTGCATCCGTATTTTCCGAGTGCACTTGCGGAGAGTAAGCAATTCGAAGCCGACAGTTTCGCAAATTATCGTGAAATCACTTGCAAACAACTTCGTGCGGAGTTTAGAAGTATTAAAATATCGACTTTTATTACGGTATGAAATATATTTTGAATTTCTCTTTATAAGGCTCATGTGGGTATGTGTGTGTGTGGGTAATTTTCGATGGCATTAACTTTCTCGGTGTAACAACACTCGAATAATGATGACTTAAAGATCGGAAATTAACTATAATGCCTGTAATCGGATTTTGTTTAAAAAAATAGGCTTACGGGTATGGTATTTTTGTTATTTGTATAATGAGGTATTTATACAGTAAATATTATATATTAAAGGTTTATAAAAAATATTTATTTATTAAACATTATACGTGATAAACTGTTTATGAAGATGCCCTCTGGGCGAAACATGTCAACTCAAAAATAAAATTGTAAATCCAAAATCACGTATAATGTTTAATAAATAAATATTTTTTATAAATATACAACATGGATTACGTATTCACCAAAGAAAGTAATAAATATATTAAAGGGTAAAAAACATTTTTTTATGCGTGCTGATGTTGAAACGTTGACAAAAAATGACTCACAATGCATAAGCTTACTTTTTTAACTTGTGGATCATCAAAAATTGTATAAAAACGTTAAAAATATTGATTTTTTCATGGAAAATCAGAAATAAAAGTACAATACGATATTAAATTCTTATATATCGATAAAATGAAGTTTTCACTTTATTCGTCTCGATTTCAAGCAAATCAAATTGACTATTCACTATTTTTGAAAACAATAAAGTAATTATAATTTAATTATAGATAATATGCAAATCAACTCAGGCTATACCTATTTATCCGCTACGCTGCTTTAAATAATGAAACTATTATAACTCCTCGAGGCAAAAGTTTTTTTTAATAATCAGCTGCGATATAAAAAGAAAAAAATGGAATCGATAAAAATCTATATTGATTTCTATTTTGGTTATAAAATTTTGTCAAAGTATAAATAAAATCCAAAGTGATTAGAAAGTTTTAGCACAAAATATAAACTCAGTATTTTATTACTGAAACGTAAATTACATTGACAATATCATCGTGCACAGTTGCAGTCAATAGATATAAACGCACGCAATACCGTGGAATCACTAATCACTCTTCCTGGTTAATCAAAAAGTTTCACTCGTAGAAGCAACAATTGCTAATTTTTGCATAAAGTGCATTTCCTTAACTAATTCCCAGTCATTTTAAATATTTCACGCATAATTTTCACAAATGGATGCGTTTTTGGTTGGCGTGTTATGCAAAAAGCAATTTGTTAATTAACGAACACATAACACGATAAACGCTGCAATTTTAGCGTGTATAATCGCAACGTCATATTCCATCACCGTTTCTGTATATTTTGCTTATAGCCAGGTGCGAATATTTCTACCAAAACATATTTGAAACGTTAAATTTCCATTTTCTCGTTCGTTAGAGTTGAAAATTGTCAATTTTTGCTTTTACACCGTTTCAATCAACGTAAAAATTTATTTTTATTATAGAAATGCAAAAATGTTGAATTTAAACGTTTTATTGTGTTTTAAATGTGCAATCGAAGTAAATCCTCGAAATAACGGTAGTGTTTCCACAATTGGCGGTTTCGCACTTGCCTTAAGCTGTCAAATGGGCAACATAAGACATAACTGAACAACTCAACAGCGATGAACTTCCTATAAACGCGAGCTGTCCTATTCTGGCAAGGTGTCGAGCGGCTCAACGATCTACACACCGCAAATGCCACTCGACCAAACGAATCTATTCCGAATCCGCGCCGCAGAAGTCAATCAACTCGGTTATGTTTGCTCAGCCGTCAGTCAACGATTTCATAATTGTTTCACTCAAACTGCATTATGACCCCGACCGCGTCGAATCTATTAAGATAAATTTTGCGCAGTCGATAAGCAGGGAAATCCAAGAAACGCATGCTGATGTCATGTCAATAGCGATAAAAATATCACTATTCTAGAGTATTCCAAAGCGATTAGTTCGGGAAGTGCGCGATCTGAATCAGAAATGAAATGGGAATTGCATTCGCAAACATCTTGGCGGGTTTACGCTTTGCTAAGTTTATTTAAACGCTGCGATTGTGCTCGTGGTCGCATTATCGTCCATTACTCCAACTACTTACCAAACCATAATAGGCAAGTGACCCGTAAAGACGTATTCAGACGTATGGAACTAGATTCTACAAATTGAAATAGTTATTTTATCAATTAAATACAAACAACACTGATTTTTCAAAGAAAATTTCGCGGGAAAAACTAAAATTCCAGTTTTAACCTACAAAAGTAGGGTTAATACATCAAAAATGGCGACATTATACCTTAATAACCTTATTTATCAATTTAATACAAATAACACTGATTTTTCACGACAATTTCGCGATAAAACCTAAAATATTGATTTTTAACCTACAAAAGTAAGGTTAATACATCAAAAATGGCGATATTATACCTTAATAACATTATTAATCCATTTAATACAAATAACACTGATTTTTCTCAAAAATTTCGTTGTAAAACCAAAAATTTTGATGTTTAACCTACAAAAGTAAGGTTAATACCTTAAAAATGGCGACGTTATGCCTTATTAACATTGTTCTTAATTCAAATTCATGCTATTGTTTCGTAGTGTTAAAAAAATCGCTGCGCTGGGCACAAATTCAACGATTTTTCCGACGCGCTCCAAATGCGTACGAAATGTCTTCATCGAAAATGCGTTTGGCGTTCACAAGGTGACACGGTCAACACTCCAGCACACGAATATATTGCGCGGGAGTAAATACGCCACGCTCTCTCCAAAGATGCGAGTATTACTTCTCCAAGTTACAGGAAAAGTTTAATGTTTAAACTCGAATTTCACTTGAAACAAATAAAATTATTTCCGCACATAAAAATTAACAGTAATATTATCTTTTGTAAAGTGAAACGCATTTTTCTTTTTAGCTGGTCGTTAATAAATCCACACAAACGTGTTGAGTGCTTCTAATTTAATTAGAAACGGCTGTCATTTTATTTTCTTTCGATTTTCTCGTTTCCTAATCCGTGCTTTCATTTATTAAATGATAATAAATTCAGCTATTAATTAGACGCGCTTTAATTCGTAGCAGTTTCTTAATCGAGTGTGTACGAATGAGACAATAAAATTTTATGAAAGAAAAATGTAATAAATCACAGTTGCACATGCGCACATTGTGTATGTGTGGACTTGTGCGAGTGCGAGGAGACCTACATGCAAAGAGACGTGAATTGTGAATTATTCGCGTGTTCATGGCCTCCTTGAACCTGCATACCATCATACAAAGTATTTTATTTTAGAAATCTTGTAACTACTAACATGTTGCACATTATACCTACGTGAGATGATGTCTGTATATGGAAGCTTAAATTTATTTACTTACAACTTAATAACTCGCTTAAATCACAAGATGGCTACTAATCTAACCTCAAAAATTCCCTACGCGTCACATAAATCTGATATAAAACGCCTGAAATTAATGTGACACGCAAAAGAAAATTTCTCTGAGTCACTCACTACAGGTGTGACTACTGTGTTATCGTGTGCTCTGTGCATATAGTGCACAAATGACAATAAAAACTTAATCGTTTAGAACAAGTCGTTATAAATCCAATTGCGCTGAATAGAAAATTACGATTATTTTTTTATGCAAAAAGACAATCGCCACGATCGCTTTTAATCGTTGAAAGCAAACACGTGTTGTTGTTGCAAATTAAAAATAAAAAGTACTGTGTCATTTGCGACACGGTGTCATGTCTAACATCACGACCAGACAGAGAATTCACTTAGAGAGCAAAGCGTGGCCGGTCCGCGAACGGAACTGGAACAAAGTGAAATTTTTTCTGTTTTTCACTTCACCACAAAGTGACAGTTATCTTCCGCATCCGTTTATTTAAAAATACTATCAAAATGTATAGGGATTATAACTTTTAATTAATGAATATTGCAAACAATAAAACTATGTTAATGTAAGTATCATAAAAATTATGCTTGCGTAGAAGAAAAAAACAACGTAGGTTCCCACAGTGTTGCATTAATGTTACGTATAAATTGTTTCAGGTTAATTCCACAGGAACGTTGTAAAAGTACTAAATAATCCACTTTAAACAGTTTTTTATGCTTTTTATAAACAAAAACAAGTTAATCCGCTAATAAAACGAACTTAAAACTCATAAAACACGTTAATTTTCTTATATACGTTAGAGCTAAACATAACCCTAAAAATGACGTTTACAATGTTGCCACACCTAACCTAATCCAAAAATAAGTAAATTTATATCATACGCCTAAGATTCAATGATTGATGTTAATAAATCACACACGATTTGTATACAAACCGCACACGCACAGTCCTTGACATAAAAATAGCACGGAAAAGCGCGAAATATAATTCAGACGCGGCGTATACCATAGATTTGCAATAACATCTCCTGAAAAGCTGGATTACTGGCTTGTGTTATTGCCTTTTTGAGTGCCTGCGTGAAATGCATGAAGCAAGCAATGATTACGAACCATAGCAGTGCTATATTTATGTAACAGTCAAGGTCCTGCATGTTCAAAACGGAATTCAGTAAACACTACGTATTGTACTCGCATTGCCTAACTCACCAGCTACGCGCATAAATAAAACGTATTCTATTAAACGTAAAAACAGTACTTTGCTAATTTATCAAGAAAATTTGTTTTTAAAATGTACTTTCCTTCATTACCTATTGAATTATATAAGAAAAGTAATGTATATAAGTACGTACGTACTGTTTTAATTAATGTTTATTATTGTATAGTATAATAATAGTTTTTATTCATAAAAAGAAGCAATATGTGTAAACATCATGAGAATTGTTATGTAATTGACTAAAAAAACTCTCAGTATTGTTTTATGCAAAATAAAATAAATTTTTTAAAGAAAACTAGTTTTTGCTTTGAAATAGTAAATAAACTTACAGGGACATTGTTATTATCATGTTTTCCTTTCGTTTTTCCCTTTTTGGATCCGTTCTGTTCGTTTTCCTGAAGATCCTCATCACTACGGCTCTTACGCCTTGAGCAACAACAACAAAACCACGGCATATTTATAAAAAACACACAAAACTAAACGCAAGTCATTAAAAACATGCACATTTCCAATGCATTGATGGAAATAATGGTGGATTTGGTTAGAACAAACGAACACGTCCCGACCGAGGCGAGCACAACACTAAAATCTTTTCGCGATTTTATAATTTTAGCCTATTACCGAAACCGAACGGCTCTGGTTCACATCCTACCGAATTAACGTTGTGCACTCGATGTGTGCGGCTGCTGAACGCACAACCGAGGCTGGGAATTGAATTCCACGCCGTTTGCAAAACATTCGGCGTCGTCATATAATGTAACATAACACTTTATACAATTCAATCGCTGCCAGCCACTAATATTAAGCCGGCGATTGTGTGTGAGTGGTAGTGATGCCAAAGTTCGTGTTCAGGAGTGCATGCACACATCACGACTCAACTGGTAAATAATTATTATCAGACATGTAAGCGTTCGAAATAAATCCGACCCTGATTTGAGCCCTTTAACGCGCAATAAAATTATTACTTCCGACTTCCGCGTATCCGTTGATAGTTGTTATTTAAATTAATACGAGTGGAGTATTTAAATGTTATACAAACCTAGTGACATAGCGTGTGTGATGCTGCTTCAACGGATGATTATCCGTCTATTCATGAGATTGACTTGATATTGACACAAATCAAATGAATCTAGACCAACCAGTTCAATTGTACGTCTCTTGTATCACAAATTACGAAATGTTACTTTAAACACTTCGGAAAAAGCACCCAAAACACAAAATTTTAATTTTTTATGTTGAATATGAAACACGTTGTTTTTCGGATTGGATTCTGTTGGAAGTGAACTCACGTTTTTTTAAATTTTTTTCTTTTTCTTATTCCGATACCTGCGAGGCGGTGAGCGTCTACCACGCACCTGAGAAACTTGTCGACTGTACGGTGCACGCCGCACGCTTGTTCACCGCACGGTTTTGCGTCGCGCAGCTAGAAAAGATGGAAGTGGATGAAATGGATGGATGGAAGGAACCGAAGAGAAGAGAACAACCTGTACGCGTGTGCGCCGTCGACGACGGCGTTGGATTTTTGGCTATATGCGGCAGACGAGCACCGTCGTCATAATAATATTTCCTTGCCGACTGACTGTAGGTATGCGTTGGTTCGGAGACAAGTAATCGACGTGCTGAAGAATGATGAGTAGGCCGCGCGCGGCATGCAAACACACGAAGATGAGCCGGTCTGATCTTAAGCCGACGCAGTGGGATGAGGATGAGATCATTGCATTGCATGCGCTTAATCATACGCCCAAAAGCACAGCATGCCATTGAAGCGAAGATATTTGCAGTGTTCAGCATCCAGTATCCAGCGTGAGTTGGTAAGTCTCATTCAAAATTAAAAACAGAACCATTACGAATGAAGACAAACATAAAGATGCATCACGAACAGGTGGAATGCGTCGGTTTCAAGATGATTCAAGCACAATGAATTTTTAAGAAAATATTTGATGATTTTTTTTTTCATTCACTTTCGATTTTTTCGTATTACGAAATCAAAAATTGAAATAAACGCTTAAAGTGGTTGATCTCTAAGAGATTTTACCAATTAAATAAACGTGCCAACTTTCTACGCTATTAAATTGTCCAATATTTTAAATTAATTATAGATAAGCTTCATTTATTTGCATATTAATTTATGTAGATTTTCCACATTTTCGTATTTATTAACGCACTGAATGCAAATTAGAAATTCTGATCTCAAAGGCACTGCTAACGAGAAAATCATGTTTTCAGATGCAGTTAAAAATCATCTAACTTTCATTCAAAACACTCAAAAAACTCGACTTAACCTAACTTTAACTGAACTTATAACAAAAACTCAGTTTCTAGGTTAACTATTATATTTATATCGTTGACAGTTGTTCAGGAAGCCATTGAGTTACCTATTATATCAGTGAGTATTTACTTTCACAAAACGTACACAACGTAAATAGTAATAAATCAAATCAAAATGCAAACCGCATAATTATAGCAATTATTTGCCAAAAATACAAAACTACGCGTACAAAAATTACGTAATTTTAAAGTAATGCCAAGATACGCATATATGCGAATTACCATAAGTAATTTAATGCTTACTTGCGTCGATAAACGAAATATTCTGTGTTAAATTACCGCAAGTAGCAATATTAATCAAAAGCCGATTTTAGCATGTAACTTGCACTTGTAATTTACCTCTGCTTATTTATGCCTAGATATTATAAGAATTAGAAGCGTAACACGTTCACTTTTCAATCAAATTAGTGAGTACTTAATGCAAAATCGTGTAAATAACAATTAATATTTACATTTATATCAAAAACGATACCCGTATTATGTGAATTAGTGATGTACGAAGAAACTTTTACAGTTTTCAAGCAATTAGATGATAAACATAAGCGTGAAGTAATACTTATAATATTTCTTTCTCATCGAGAAAAGTTTCTTGCGGTCGGTAATTAAATTTTTTATTGTGCGCGCCGACTAATGGTGTAAAAGTGAATCGAAATGGATAATTATTACTAGTTAAGATCGTCTCGGACTGTGGCCAGAGACGCAGTGTTTTGCTGCTGTTCCTTATTTGCTCAAACATACTGATATTAAAGAACGACCAAAGTAAGCGAAAGTTATGGTGCGGTTTATGATCGTAGTTCTTTCATCGAGTGGAAAACTTTCTTCTCGATCGTCACACCACGCGCTGTCATAATCATCTCCGCACAAGCAACTGGAAATTACGTTAATAGAAAGAAGCTATAAAAGATAAATGGATAGAAGAAATGATAATTAAATATACGTTTTCAGGAAACTTAAGAATTTTGAACTAAACGGTGATCGTATATGAATTTCTTTGAGTGTTTGTTGTGAGATAGGCAACCAAGCATACAAATTCAGTTAACGTATTTTAAATAATTGCTATACATGAGAAGTATGCGTTTTTTGTTGGTACTATGAAGATTATTTGCAAAATAAACTTTATTAGCTTGTTTTAAAGAATATAAAGCAAGTAAAATAACAATTTAAACACTCAAATTACATAATTTACGCAATAATCTTTACTTTAAACACGAATATAATCAATTTTGATTTATAATTTTAAAATAAAATAACTTACATCGTCATTATTAACGTTTTCTTCAACGTTGGTCGTTTCCGAAGACGCCGGCATTTTGTCGATTACAAGAAGACACTAATGACTAATTATCCATACGTTCGTTTACTAATAACACCCTGCACGTGTTCCCTGTATTGTCTCGCGTATTTACCAACAGTTCATTCACTTTCACGCACATTTATACATTCCGCACACTGATATATTGCATGTGTTGGTGTAACACACCCCAACGCGCGTATAAAATTGTAAAAGTTGATAAAAACCGTGTAAAAAGTGGCACTTTGTTTAACCTGGTTGGAATTATTCGGAATACTGATTGTGCGTTAGGCTTACGAGCGGAAATTGAGTGTAAAAGTCAGTAGAAAATATCACATTTGTTTGCGATTCGGTGCTTGCTGTTTACTTCGCCATTTGCGAAGTGCTACTGCTGTCCTAGGGGTTGCACAGGGTTGTTAAACGCTTGACAGGGCAGGATGATTTTGTTTTATTTCAAACAAAAATATATTATTCAATTCTTTATTTAGAATATTTTCGAGATTGTTTCTTTATCTATGGAAGCATTATGTAGAACATGTAAATATTGTAATCATGTTTGTTTAATGATAACATTGATGAGGTTCTGTGCGAGTGGCAGTATATCTTTCCGTTGTGCGCAGTTGGTTACTGCGCAGCGCGCATCGTTCAGCTGTTCACAAGTAACCCGCACGCATGCGCATTGTAGCTCCAGTAACCGTTATTTTCAAAGCGACCATGCATAAGGTACGCCGTTAGAGAAAGCAACAAGAGAACGAACGCATCCATACGCCATTTCTATGTTATGTAAAAATTCTGTTTTGTGATAATTAAATGGACGTGAAATCAACCAGTGCATCATTAAAATATATCAGTTTGTAATCTCGGAATCAGGAAGTTAAATTATTCGTGTGTGTCTATTGTGTTTTGCGCGTTGTGGCAATGCATCAAAACGCAATGGTGGATCGTGCAAGCATGCACAGACACGCCGATTTGTCGGCGTCATCAAGCAGCGATCCAGACGTCGAGGTAGAAATGCGATTCAATATGTCTGGTGACGAGGAAGACACACCACGCGAACGCGTTATTAGCTCGACGCCTAAGATCTCATCAAGGCGGCTTCACTTCGTCGACGATGAGGATGAGCAAGAGGACAGCGCCACGGAGATTCTGACGATCCGACAGCCCCCAAACGCCAGCTTCAGTCCACCGTACAGGAAGGTGCGCGCCCTGCGGCTGCTGGATCGACCGCTCACACCGAGAACGCTTTCGGCGAACTCGGTGTGCACTCCGCCGCGTCGTTCTCGGCTCTTCCTATCGCCGTTTGATCAACAACAGCAGCAGTCTGTTGATGGCGCTGAAACCAGCTGTAGTAGTTTAGCAGAAGTGCCTTCTGTGAATATAAATCCATTCACGCCACAAGCGCTGCGTATGCAGAAGAATAAAAAACGTATGAGGGATCAGGTATCACCTGGTTTACCTGGAATCAGTTCTCAATCCAATATTCCAATGATGACATTCAGTAATGATCAAGATATGAATGATGATAGTGATTTACAGCCACCTTCAAAAAGATTAGCTCTAAGTGTAAGTATTATTTTATTTGTCTTTGTTTGATTTGTTATTCTATATATTGCTTAATTCATTTGTAGGAGAACAATATCTCAAGATATCATCATGAATTCGCTGAAGTGAGTCTCCTGGGCACCGGACAATTCTCACGCGTGTATAAATGCATCAATCGCTTAGATGGCTGCATGTACGCGATCAAACGCTCGAAGAAACCCGTAGCTGGGTCTTCGAATGAACGCGCCGCATTGAACGAAGTTTGGGCGCATGCGGTACTAGATTGGCACGAAAACCTCGTCGGCTATCACTCTGCCTGGGCGGAACACAATCATATGTACATCCAGACAGAGTACTGTAATCGTGGTACACTTGCTGATAAAATTGCTAACGAAAGTCTTGAGTTTCCTGAGTGTCAGCGTTTACTACAGCAGATTGCTGAAGGTTTAAACTATATGCACTCGCATTCGCTGGTGCATCTCGATATCAAACCGGATAATATCTTCATTTCGGTGTCTAAGAAGAGAAAGCGCTCGGGGATTTCCTACAACGATTCAGCCGACGATGGATTCGCTGAAGACGAAGAGCTGACGTATAAAATAGGCGACTTGGGTCATGTTACGTCGACAACTGATGCGCAAGTCGAAGAGGGCGATTGTCGTTATCTGCCATTGGAGGTTTTACAGGAGAATTATTCGAATTTAAAAATGGCTGACATTTACTCGTTGGGATTGACGGTGCTCGAGGCGTCCGGTTATGGGCCGATGCCGAAAAATGGCGATGAGTGGCAACAGCTACGTGAGGGTAAGATTCCCAAAGATGTTAAATACCTTCCGAGCGATTTTCTCGAACTGCTGAAGTCGATGATTGATCCAGATCCTCTGAAAAGACCAACTTGTGAACAGGTTAGTACTCTACACTTTTTAAAAGAATATGTTTAATAATTTGTATAATTATAGATTTTACTGTATCGTAAAGTGAGCCATGTCACCGAAGCAACGAAATCCTACGAACAGCTCCATCGGGAGTACAAGGCATCTGTACTCAAAGCGGAGTTGCTTTCTAAGCAACTAGAGGAAGCAACACGATGTATAAAATCCCTCACGCCCGATACGAAGCGCCTCATTGGTAAAAAGAAGACGCGATCTGTTAGCTCGTTGAATTTTTAAATGTACATTTTACATACCGCTTTCGCCAAACAACCTCGCGATATCATCGTCATATGTCGCGCATTAATATACCTTATATTTTATTCTATAATTATATTTTATTTAGGGGTGGATGGAAAACGAATACCAAATAAACTGCTTGCATGCTAGCAGAAATCTGAAGGATGCAGTGTTCGTTTTGTCGACATAGATGAGCTAAGTGATAAACTGTGGATTTCGTATGGACCGCAATCGAAATCGTAAATGAAATGTGATAAATGCAATCAATTGTTATATTTACGCCGAGCGAGGTAGCTGAAGGTGTGAATGTTCCACGAGTAGTAAATGCGCACGAACGAAACAAGGTAGTAATGTTATACATTTAGATTAGAAGCAAAGAAGATGAATCTGTTGTAAAAGGGATGTGTTAGAGTTGTAACGTTAATTTTACCACTGCACCATTTTATATTGAATATTTTACTAGCTACTATGATAAAATTGTTATTTTAATAAGTGATAGAAGTCCGTGTTGCGTATTGTTGAATTTCGATGTGGTTTAGACACGCTTATAATGTTACATTGGTTGTTTTTCTTCTTTACATCTATGTGTTGGGCGTTGGTAGACTGCTGGAATCCGAACACGATGCTCTCAACTACGGATATGGCTAATACAATCTTATGAATGTAAATCGAAAACAAAACAATGTGATTTTTACATATTTCCTATTGATATTAATGATAATTTTGTAAAATGTATATTTATTATTTTTATATCTTTATTGTAATATTTGCCGCTCCTGTGAAGGGGGCGTTTTATGCTGTATCATTTCTCTCACTTAAATTTGTATTTTTGCTTATATGTATTTGGCTGCATTATATTTAAACTATTTTTGCTATTTCTTTTAAAAAATATATCACTCAATAAAACTTTAACAAATACCGGTCTTATTTATTTTGAATTCATTTATCAAAATATTGTGTTCATCTTTTAAACACATTTTATTTGTTATTTTAATCCTCACGGGACCTAAACAAAGAATGATTAACTGAAATATTTTTAAGATTTAATGATAAGAATTATTAGTTCTGTCAGAATTAGAAAACAGAAGTTAGAAATTCCAACTTTTAGTTTAGAGTAAAAAAAGATCGACTTTTATATTTTGAAACCTTTTCATTTGTGTTTGAACCGCAAATAATTGAAGCAATCGATCGTCTTCCGGCATAAAATAATAGGGATAGTCACTTAGGCGACATTAGGCATCATCAACATCAACTTTTAGAAATTGAGAATTGAATGGATTAAACTTCAAACATATATAGATTACAGAAATGGTTATATTGTAAAATACAAATTACATAGATGCTACTGCAAAGCCGCGCATCTCAACCATCCTCAACTGTCAGTCTGAACTAACCATATCTTCATGAATTCTATACTACATGAAATGCACCACACAGTAATCTCACCAGCATAATATTGGCTTCATACAGTGTGACATGCCTCTTCAGACAGTTCACATCTATACCTTCAAATCGCACACCTCTCGTTCTGAAACCCGCTATCGCTACGTATATTTTCAACGACTATTAATATACGGAGAGCTAGATTTTCTGTAATATAAAATAGCGTGTGGTCATTTATGGCCGTTTGTAATTCTCTACAATTGCACAAAATGAGATCCTGCGGCTGTTATCAAAATCTTATAGCTCTCGCTTGTCCGTATCATAATGACTTACTCCCCTTCAATACTCATTTAAATTCTGACAATCAAGTAGTTGCAACATTTCGATTCATATTCTCTAATGTACATACATATAAATAAATACAACTTATTTTGGTATCCCGTCATACAAACGAATTTCGAACGCTTTAGTAGCACGCCTAAATGAAGGGAAACGATTACACACATTTATTACGACAAATAAAAGAGGGACAGTCAAGTTATAAAATAGTTTCGACGTGTTGGCAGAATACTAATTTGTTCTTCAACTTAATCAATCAAAAGAGCACTTGTATCAGACACGCATTTACTCTACGATCACACAATTAGTGTTTTTTGTTGGTTTGTCTTAGAAATTCATAGAAAATTAATATTAATTAAGAACTATAAAGCGATGCGAATACATTTACGAGAAACTAACATTAATCGAAGTCGCCGTGTTCTAATCTTTATATACTACTACTTTTGAAGAAATCTGCTTTGTCTTGTACGCACTTTCATGTAGTGTTTTGTTAAACTAGATTAATTTGTTACTTGAGTTGTGACGCTCAGTTACGATAAAAGTTAGTCATTTAATCCTGTCCACCGCCACCGCCCCCTGTGCCGCCGTTCTGCTTCACCGCAGAACGACTGCGTGACCGTGAACGCGAGTTGCGATCATTGCTACGCGAGCGGCTGCGCTTATTCGAGGCGGCGCTGCGAGAGCGACTGCGATTGCGACTCCTGCTTCTGGACCTGGACGCGCTGCGCGAACGACTGCGGCGATCCCGTGACCTGCTCCTGGAACGGCTGCGAGACCTGTGAACACAGTTGGAGATGCGTTAAACGTTTATCTTGTCAGTGTCTGCCCAAACATTTCTTTTATTTGTATTGTTTCTCTGCTAATTATTGCAGTCAATGCAAAAACCATAAGATATGATGTTTGATTGTGAAACTGCTTACAAGATGAGTACGTATGTTAAAAGTAGTAGTGAACTAATAAATACTTGAAATGCACAAGAACTAAAATAACGTCTCTATTATCGTGGTCGAGGCTCGACGCTTGATCTCTCTTCACGACTTGCAGCAAGCCAAAAACGGAATTGCCGTTCGGTTCGATAAGCAACCAAGTGGAACCGAACGCCATTTTCGTTTTGTAGACTGGTAGGTAGACCTCGTAGACGCTCATTCCATCGCTCAACGACTTGACTTGATTCGATTCATTGCAGATTGGACGATCGGCGCTCGTGTATCGGTGTGTAAAATGCAAAATTTCGGTTTTTCGTTTCATTGTCTTTGGTATTGTATTTTGTTTTAGAATAATTGACTCAACACAAATTAAGAGTGTGTGCGTGCTTCATACACCAGATTAGTAGTCTTTGTCTTTTCTCTTTGATTTGAAAAAAACAACGCAATATACCAATTGAATGAAATCGAATGTATATAATATCAAATGTGGTTAAAGATATAAGATATTTAGAAATACATTTTACCATTTGGTCTGCGAGCGAGTCAGTCAGCGCTGTGTCGTGATCGATCATTGTTGGGTAGGCATAATGGTAGCAATAGAATCAAACGCCCGACACAAACGATTCGAATTGAACTGAGCAGAGGGTGTGTGTTCACCGCCGGAGCATACTGACAGAGGAGGTTCGAGGTAGGTCTACTACGAGGTTGCGGCAGGGCTCTGTGCGCAGCGAGCGAGCGGGCCGAGGCGGCGGCGGCACTCTCTGAGAGCGTCGCGGCGGCGGCGGCGGGTCGACTGGCGATTGCGAGCTGCGAGCGCCGGAAGTGAACGAATTCGTCTCACTGCGTGCGCCGTGCGTGCGTGCGATTCAGATCATGTTTCTCATCGAGCGCGCTCTCGTGCTCTCGACTCGTTCGTTCGTTACCTGACTATCGGCCACAGACTATACCTATAACATGGCATCACTGTGTGTCAGCCACAATACTTCATCAAACCGCAAGCTTTCATTTGAATTGTTTGCATGTTGCTACAATTTTGACACAATTATTGTTACTGAACTTGACGCGATATGAACGTGTTTCGCAAATAATTTCAAATAAAATCAACGAATAGAATCAAAAAATTAAATAAAGAAAATTGAGAAGTCGGCTGAAGATTATGCAATCGGCTGAGAACCGTTCATACCTGCGTCTTCCGCCGCGCTTATAGCGGTTGCAGTCGCGTGCATAATGCCCACGATCCCCGCATTCGTAACACCTGTCATCGGGATGGAAGGGGCGTCCACGTGAACGCGGGGGCGGCCCTCTGAAGCGCCCCGCGCCAGTTTTACCATTTGACATCTCCACACGCGCACGGCGTCCGCAAATTGTGCGTCCATCTGTAACAGCCTTGCAATCAGTAAGAATATTGCTTTCAAGACCAGTGGATAAAATTGCCTTTACCTAAGCCGCGTATCGCATCTTCGGCATCGCGAGCATCTTCGAATTCAACGAATGCAAAACCTGGCGGGTTCCTCGCCACCCACACATTGCGCAGCGGTCCGTAATAGCTGAAGGCATCTTCTAACTCCTGCTTGGAGGCGTTGTTGCCCAAATCACCCACATATACCTTACAGTCGGAGCCGTAACGCGACATTTTCTGAAACACAAGTCAATTATTTAAGCATTGCCATGGAAACAGCGATTTCATGGCTTGTTTGTTTAGAAACAAAAGTTGAAAGTCGGAGTAATAATTTCACTCTCAACTCCTGCGATAACGAAAGTCGTCAGCTTATTGGTTGCGTATACGTATCATACGTACATAAATCGGTTACAAGGTCACTAATTTCAAGCCGCCTACTGATATTTACGTTTTATTGTATCCACTGTCGGCGCAATCTGCACGTCGCTAGGACAAAACGCTAATTAGCGTAAGTAACACTCTTGCCTTTCAATAAAATGATATCAAACTATGCTCTGCCATGTCGCAGAGGCATTATTGATCCGCGGTCGTAGGGTGCCGAGCAACACCCAATCACAAATTCCACCGGTACACGTATTTTACGCCAAGCACGAGCCAATTTTACGTACCTATGTGTTGCGTCGTCAAGGAAGGAACGATTCGTTGCAGGTCGATGCGTACAGCAGGTCACCAACAACAATTATTTCACAAAATGCATCACGAGGCGACACACAAATTACAACATGAAACAGCAATATGGAGGACGCGCGAGTCGAGCGACGGCGTCCTTCGTAGTACGAAAAATCAACGCTAGAAGGAGCGCGCATTTGTTTGTTCGAGCGCCGCTTGTTTTGAATCGCCAAACGCTCAATAAACCATATAAAAACCGGAATTTAAGGCAAAGTTATTAATAAAATAGAAATTAGTTCAATGCCAATCACTCTGCATACACTCAACATGCATGTGATCGTAAATATGTTTATGTTAGAATAAATTAATAGTCAATAGGCGCTTATCTAATAATTTCGAAGAGTTCAATATTTATTGCAAGCCATTGAAACGAAAGTGTCGCATTAAGATAGATAGATAAGTTTTTGGTGCATTTATACGCTGCGTGCCTGCGTAAAATGTGTATTTCTAAGTTGTCTGGCATATCTTCTATTTACTTTAAACTCATTTTATTGGTTTTAATAGTTGTATGCTCACTCATCGACGCAGTTCGCACAAAACACGCAGAAAACATGGTTTTGCACCTTGAGGACGTCCCTGTTCAGAGGAAACCTTTGGTTGTTCCAGTATTAGACGAAGTTGTCAAAGGTAAAGTTTCAAATTCAAAAATTTGAGTTGTATTCTATTCATTTCGTTAGTTTTAACCGACGGATTACGAAGTCACTTCGAACATGTTGATGTCGCTGTGGTTGATTGTCCAGATCTCACGAAAGAGCCATTTACGTTGGCTAGTCCAGGTAATTTGCTCTTTTATCTTGTTTAAAAGTATAAATTACTTAATATTTGCTTGTAGGTTTAGGCGGAAAATCTAAACTTGTAGAAGTTGGTGGTCCAGCTTATCTACTACCACTTGTGAATCGTACAAAATTGTATGACATAACAGACGTGGCAAAAGCGGCACAAATAAATCCTGCTTTTATTATTGGTGCAGGTGCAGGGCCATTTGATCACGAGAAAACTAATTGTGAAGTAAGTTTTATATTCGCCTCCTATAAAACATTAATTATCTATAATTAATTATTATTATTATTAGGGAATATATAATTTAAATGTGCAAGATGGTAAAATAACCGTTCAGGATTCAAAACTTTCACGTGTAAATGCATCGGATCCACCGAATCCCATCCAGAAAACAATTCCGATCGATGCAACTAACTTCGGATTGTTGGGTAATTTGCATGTATCAGAAGGTAAACCCGGTAAAGTTTTGAAAGTCCATGCGACTAAACGAATTGGTAGTATGGACTTCATCGCGAGTATTCGAACATCTTTAGCCGATTATTACGGACCAGAAACACCAGTCGGACTTGGTGGTACGTTCCTTCTAAAAGAAGGAAAAGCTAAGACGCACGTCATGCCTGACTTTTCATCGGTTCCACTCCAAACTGATGATGCACTTAATGAATGGCTGCAGTTTTTCAATATGTCGGCACCGTTAATATCAGTGGGCACGCTTGTAACCACTGAATATGTGAGTTATTTAATATAGATTTAATTCTGTTATTGTAAATGTTTGTTTTTGTGCTTTTCAGGGTGATATTGACCTAAGAGTACAACATTTTCATTTGTACTCTCATCATGGTCAAGCTGGACATTACCACATCGATACAACTCCAGATGTTGTGGAATACCTAGGTTTCTTTAACTTGGCTGATGAAATAATCCGCGTGGATAAACCCCCGCAGTCGGCTGGTTTCGGCAAAGATTAGTTTTTTTAAGAACATCGTTAGGTATATTCTCATAACATCTGTTTAAACATTACATCAAAAATACATGTTCTCATCTGAATATGTTTACGTAAAGTGTATCAATATATAAAATCAAATATGGCACATTTAAGACCTGTAAGTTTTAACAACTCTAGTCACGAGTTTCCTGCAGATGGGACACTCAGCAAGGCGGTCACTGCATTTATAGCAGGTGACTACGTGGCCACATTCTAGCAGGACGCAGTCGAGTGGAGCGTCCATGCAGATTTTGCACAGATCATTGTCCGAATTGTCTACTTTTGAAGAAGAAGCTTTCGCTTCTTGTTTACCTGCAAAGAATGAAAATACGAACATCAAACCATGTTAAATCTGTTTCATGAAGGTTATTTTTACCATGGTCTTTTTGAAGGTTGAAATGAATCCATAAATCAATTGCATGTTCAATGAATTCAGCCTTTTCAAGAATCCCGTGTAGTCAACGGAGTTTGCAGTTAAAAGTTCTTTGAGTTTAGCCACGGACAATTTCATAAAATCTTCTGGAGACTTAAATCCAGAAAGATTCTTGTAAATTATATTCTTCTTTGGTTGAGCTGTTGGTTTATGCTTAAATTAAAAAAAAAACAGGGATCACAAATTTAAACCAGAAAACTTTATGCTTTTAAGTGATCAACTTACTGCTTGTTGCTGTGACAGTGCTGAAGATGATGATGCATTATTTGGTTTACGTGTAGGGGCAGCATTGTTTACATTTGAGCATCCAGCACTTGAAGATCTGCTACCACTTGCAGCAGATTGATTGGATACAGTAATAGGGCCATGGCAATAAAACACTGGACCACTAGAGATACGTTGAGGTGCAACTTGTGAAGGTTGAGCAGGATTACGTGCACGAGCCCGTCTACTTAAATAATAAAAACAAGTTGACAAGCAAAAGTTGAGGCATGTCACAAGTGGGAGTTTACAAATAAAAGATTGGTTGCATACCGACGACCGGTGCGCCTGTTAGGATTGCAGTTTTGATGCCCAAAATGACCGCAAAATGTACATACAACATACGCGTTCGGATCGGGAATATTTTTTTCCTTGTACTTCTCCACTCTAACCCAACGATTGCAAATTAACTGATTATCTGTAATAACAGGAAACAAAACACACAAATTACTAACTCGTGTTTCATGACACAAAGAATAATATTTACCGAGGAATCGAACTGCATCAATCGCATCTCTGGGATCGTAATATTCAACGAATGCATAACCACGATTTCGTGGCACAAATACGTCGCACACTTCACCAATTTGACTGAATGCATAATATAATTCTTCGTCATCGCCACAGTTGCCCAAATTTCCAACGTACACTTTGCAGTCGTTCTCGTTAAAGACGCGTGCCATTTTCTAAATCACAACTTAGAATTAGGTAAATCAGAGTGCTGAATGCGAGTGGACGGAAGATAATCAAGGTCTACCAACAAGTGTCGAAGGTCACTTCTTTAATTTGAAAATCAAAACAAACAACTGTTGGAATGCGTAATACTCACCCCTCGTAATATGCGCAGCTCGAACAAAAAGTGAAAAATTATTGGCTGGGTTCTGTAACGTCCAGCAGAAATTCACGCGCATGCGCATACATCTTCGTCGTTGGCACGGTTTCCAAACGATCAGTCACGAGTTCTTTTAAAACTTTTGAATTGATGTTCCAAGGTCATTTTTTTAAATTAAATTAATATCGCAAAACGTTCACTATTCAAAGCACTACTTTTTAAAAATAACATCTACTTTGTTTCCATGCATTCCAAATAACCCTTCACAAATTTTTTTAAAATTTTTGAATTTTGCGCACTCCGATAACAAATGTTTAAAAAATACTAAACCAATTCAAACACCTCTATCCTTCATTTAATATATATTGATATATTAGAAAATATATTGCAATAAAAATTATACGAGTTCATCAGAGGCAGGAAAGACCCGTGGTATTTATTCAGTGCTTAAACCACCGAATGCATTGGAATCATCAGGATTTCTACTGCTACCAGCTGATTTTCCCTGCACTTTATTTTTCTTCGTGTAACTCTTTCTCTTATGTTCCGGAAGAATAAGCCTCAAATAGCTGTTGTTGCGATACCAGCTACGCCAAGAAATCATATGCCGTTGAAACGTTAGTATCAACCACGATGAATACGTAAAATCAATGGCAGCCATGCCAAAAATCGCGCAAAATGCAACCAAATGTGCTGAGAGATTCCGCGTACGATTAATGTGTGCTTTCGCCATGTTTTCACAGATCACCATCAGCATATAAGTCGTTATGATGGCCGATGGCGTGTAAAAAATAAACGCGAGCAGGTCCAGTACAACATCTCTCAAGTTTTCACCCGGATCCGAAAGATACACGAATACAGACCATAGTAATCCATACCTAATCATCATAAAACAATTCATATTAATATTTTGTGATGTATTATTTGTCTTGATTGCGTTTACCTAGGTTGGCGTACAATTCGAAAGTGATGTTTGCACAGCTCGCAATGACTATTCGCAGATTCACGCAGCCAATGTTCCAAACAATCAATGTGCACCAAAGCGATGGTTCCACGACATCTACATGGTCTTAATAAATCTCCTGCACTCTCACCACCGTGGCATATACGACATATAAGATCTGAACTCACTGAAGTATTATCCTCATCCTGATTAATAAGATTCACAACTATTTCATTATCTTCAAACGAGAATTTATTCCCATGCACGATTGTTTTTGCATTTACTAGTGGTTTCATATATACACGCGCAAGTTGTAAGTTTCTCTCCATCGGTTCAATGATTTCATCATCAGATAAAAACGTATTATCATCAGGATACCAATCACCATCTTCTTCATTATTATTATCTTCAGTTACATCAACATTACTCGCACTTTCAGCGTTGAAATGATCCGAAAAGAAGGCGAATTCAGTCGTGATATCTTCATCATCTTTAAAACGATCTTGTCCGAAGCCGAAAATGTAAGAAAACAACGATGATCGTTTAGAAATTTCATTGCTAGAAAGAGGCCTTATGAAACACGAAGATTGCTCCACGTGTGCACAATCTTCTAAATTGGGTACATCCAAACTCAGCAAACTACTAGTCGACTCCGTGAGGATAATCGACACAAGAATATCTTTCTGTTTCGAGTGCCCGGCATTATCTTCATCAATCTTCGATTGCCTCCGCATAATTCAATTGCAATATCGAAACGTTTATGTTTCGAAACCGACTTCTTTCGTATCTATTCATTGCAATGTCATGATTGAAAATTTAGGAATGTAACTATGACATTTCGAATTTAAAATTATGATTATACGTGTGTGTTTTTGTTCAATTCAATTCTCTGGAAACTTTAATCAGAATCACAGGTTTTATCATAAAATACATCAAATAATAACAACTAATATTCCAACACATATCACAACTTTTAGATTTATCTGCCTTCCGCCGATTCTCATTAGATATTACTGAATAAAACTCATCCTAACTAATCTATACAGTGATTAAACATAAGCAAGTTAATTCTGATACTGCTGTCACAACAAATCGGCCATAATCAATCAAACATGTATAATAATTCGTTACAAAATGAGAAATTATTGATAAAAACGTGAATAATTTGTTTCACACGCAATAAATGTCAATATCTGTGTTGTCAATTGATAGAAAATAAATATATTTGTTATATTTTCCCAAATAGCTTAGTTATGTACGAATGTATGTGTGATTTATTGAATGTTGCAATAAAAACACTAAATACTGAGATATTTCAAATCTTAAAAGAAGTATTTTAGTTCTAGTGTTTTTCTCAACATTCACAGCTATTTAATAATAATTAGTCTCAAAGAAACAGTGACTGCAATCACATCAACGTTTTCGCTTTCTATTCGCGCATGAATATAATTTGAACATTGAATTAATTTATTATTTCTTTTAGATATATATTGTCTTATGCTTTGAATGTTCGTACAACTCTCGTCACGTACTGCCTGCAGATGGGACACTCTGCAAGTCGTTTGCCGCAATCAATACAAGTCGCCATGTGGCCACACTCTAGCAGGACGCAGTCTAATGGTGCATCCATGCAGATTTTACAAGCTTCATCCATGTTACCGTCAGTATCACCTAAAATAAGCAAAATATTCCAAAAGTTTAAGTTAAAAAATTAGAATTTTTACAAATTTGTTATAATCTACCTTCTTCTTTCCGTATATTTGAATCTATCCATAAACGACTAGCACGTTCGAGTAATTCGGCTTTCTCTACACACCCCTTGTAGTCCACACGGTTTAAACTCAACAATTCCTTCAACTGTTTCACTGACAAGTCATTAAAATCATCCGGAGACTGAAAATCGGAAAGTTTCGGATATTTTTTAGGTACTTGTGGGCTAGACTCCGGTTGTTCCTAAAAAAATTAAATTTACTGCGTTTCTAACAAAAAATTACAAAAAGTTACTGCAGATGGTGCATTCGGTGGTGGTTGCGGAGTGGACGTTGCAGTATTATGAGTCGTTGTATTAGGAGTTGTCCCATAACTTGAATTTGACGTTCCCGCACTGGAATTAACACTACCACCACCCATTCCGCTTGATGTAGTCGTGGAAAACACATGAGGTGGATCATTGTTTATCGTAAATGTGGTAAACGTAGTATTTGAGGTATTGAAAGTACCAGGATTAGGTCTATTCGGAGACGTTGCTTGCGGGGTACGAATTGGAGTGCTTTGCGCTGAATGACCATGGCCATTGTTGCCATTAGAACCGTGTGTGCCTCCAGGTGCCCAGTTACGCGAATTAAACGCCGTCTCCGCAGAAGTACGCAGATTATTTAGATACGTTTGGGATCTTTGTGCGAGATTTGGTACCGATCCGGAGAAATTACAATTGAAGCGCTTGTGTTTTCGCTTGTCTTTCGGCGGAATCGGAGATTTATAAAACAATTCAACCAGTTCTTGTTTTTCTATAACAAATATACAAAAATGTAACATTAAATTCATATTTATTGAACAAATATAGAGAGATACTTGCCTACTATTCCTCTAGTTGATACATTATGCTTGTTCAGATAGCTTTGAAGATCTTTTGACTTTAATTCCATTAATTTTGTTCGAACTGGAGGTCTTTTGATGAGGACTGCACATGTTTCACAAAATGTATCACTGTAAAAGTAACATATTTATGGATAATGTTTGGTTTCTATAATAATTGGTTTACAAACCCATCAATTTTGTTTAGACATTTGGAGCAATAGTTTTCCTCACACTCATAACATTTGATTTTCCAAAGAAACACTGTGAAATCAGCACCACACTTACCACAAGGCATTTTATAACAATAATTTAACTTTTCGATTGTTTTAATGTTTGTTACTCGATCCAGAAACAAATGAATCACTGATGAAGTATTCCGAACCTCTTACCAGATATAAAACTTGATACACCTTTATCAGTACATTACTAGCAGATTTCACGGGGGAGTAGTTAAACGACGGTGCAAAGGTTAATTAATTTGATGTGTGGATGAAAATTCGATAAAACGGATAAAAACCTCTGTCCGATCGGTCGCTGATTTCATGTTTTGTGTTTGTCACAATGGAGCAATCAGATCCATGTCGTTAGGTTTCTGCGAGCGAGGAGAAAATGCAGAACGTGTTGACTTCTGTGTAGCCTAGTAATTACGAACCGAACTGACATTGCAATTAAAGTAAACCGTGTCGAATTTGCTTACATTTGCTCTGCACTCTACGTACTCGTACTCTGACTGTAATCAAACTGCTGGTAAATGTAACACCCAAACGTAGTGGCGAGCATGAGACGAAATCATTAGATTTACGAGAGTGTAACAAAGAACATATTGAAGACAGATGATAGCAGACGTTTCAAGGGTGAATTTGATGGAATATGCAAATATTGTACTGGGTCAAGAAATAATTCTATCTAGACATGTCATGTTTTTGATGCTAGTTTGATTGAATGTATATTATTATACATAAATAACTGTTGCTTAAATTAAACTAAATAACAGCAGTAGTCATTTAAAAATGAAGTAAAAACACATTTTAAAAAGATTATTTTAAGTCAACACTGTAAATATGGTGTCTATAGAGTTGCCTATGTCAAAGTATAACCTGAAGGTTTATTAATCAAGTGGTTCGCCGTGCGTGCGCTTCAAGGACTTCAATTTTGGTTCGATTTTATTCAACAATTTGTTGTAATCCTACTATTATTAATTTATTCTGTACAGGAATATTACCCAATCCCCAAACTAAAGACTTAATCACGATGGCATCTTTAATATCTAACATTATTAGACAAGTAAGTGTTGAAACCTTGAATATAATAGAAATATGTAACAGTTATTTAATATCTAACATGAAACATAATTTCAGGTACCAAAGGTCCTCAGTGTGAATGCTTTGAGGTCACAACAAGTTACATCAACTAGTATGATTAAGAATCATGTTCGAATGATTCAAACAGGTATATGAATTATCTATTATGCATGATTATCCATAAAAAACACAGATTTAAATGCATTTGAAAACTTTTATATTATTAACTTGCTAGGAACAATGTTGAATGCTCCAAGGGTTCAACAACCAGCACCACCATTCAAGGGAATGGCTGCTTTTGGTGATGATTTCAAGGAGATTTCCTTGACTGATTTTAAAGGCCAATATGTGGTTTTATTTTTCTATCCATTGGATTTGTAAGCATTTTTAGTACAATAAGACACAAAATTATCTCTAAAGACATGTATTTCACACTAAAAAGGTCTGAAAATTATGATGAATTATTTTCAGCACTTTTGTGTGTCCAACTGAATTGATTGCTTTCAATGAGCGCGTTGAAGATTTCAAAAAATTGGGCGTTCAATTGATTGGAGTATCAGTAGATTCACACTACACTCACTTGGGTTGGATGAACACCCCGCGTGATAAAGGCGGGCTCGGAAAACTACAATATCCACTACTTTCCGACTTGAACAAAACAATCGCACGAGACTACAACGTCTTGCTAGAAAATGAAGGCATCGCTTTGCGAGGTCTCTTTATCATTGATCCGAAAGGTGTGTTGCGAATCATGCAAGTTAATGATTTGCCAGTCGGCCGATCAGTTACTGAAACCCTTCGATTAGTCGAAGCAATTAAATTTTATGAAGAACACGGCGAAGGTAAATGTTTACAGATTAATAACATTTAATAATATTAATTTTAACAACTTTGTTTTTTTTTAAATATAGTTTGCCCCGCTAACTGGAAAGCCGGCGATTTGACAATTAAACCAAATCCTAAAGAAGCGCAAGAATATTTTTCAGCCGCCAATAAAAGGAATTAGAAGATATTAAATGGTAATGTTTTGTATTCATTAGTAAATTTGTTTTGTTTTTGATACATGGAAGGTTCTGTTGGTCAGTAAAAATGGTACAATATTTCTAGATTAATAAATCCAAATGTTTACCAATAAATTAACATTCTAAGTACATGAATTCAGTCTTCTGTAAAGAGTTTATTTGTTATTCTATTTATTTATTATTTTGTAGAGTGACAGACGCAATATTTCGTCATGATGTCCTTGAAGAGCAGCAAACGTGAGTAGTTCCTAATATGGTTCACAGGTGGCGCTAGCTGTACAAAAACTTATTTTATTTGCCTTTTAACTGCTTCGCACAACCAACCAGTCTTTTTATCATCATTCTTTGATAGCGACCTTCTGCCTGCCACGTTTCATCCCCCCTCGCCTCACTCCCTGCAACTCATTCAAGTCTCCACGGCATCTCTCGCGATTTGCGTGCGCTCGCCTTTCTTATTTGTCGCGCGAGAAGACGCAGCGTGAAAGTTGGCGAAAATTGTGATTGCACACCCTCCGCCAAGCGGCGGCAACGAAGCGCAGTTTATACACTCGCAGCGGCGCGCAGCAATATTATGAGAAAGGCCTCCCTCACGTGCGATATTCGAGATTGTCGCCGCGCACGGTGTCGCACGATAGACGATAATAAAAAACACTATATAAGGAAAATGCATTACAATTCCGCGCCGGGAATGGCTCCCGCGGGACGCGGCGTCGGGCTAAACTCCGCCATATTATTTCGTGGTTTGCAGTTTGCAGGCGCACGGCGGCGCCGTTTTACCTTTACCGTTAATAACTTTCCACTGTCAGCGCGAAAGTCGGCAGCCGCCCCACGCTGAGCTCCTCTTTCTCTCGAAAGAGCTTTGGTGCAATTTTGCTACACTCGCCGTCGCTGCCGGCGCCGTTTATATAGCTCATTTTAACTAAAACTTTAAAACGTCTCTCCTTTCCACTCTGACTGCGCCGATTCGCTGTCGTGATATACTTGAATTTCTATTAGCGTATATGTTTATAGGTTTACGTTTACATAAAATATCAGCCGCGTATGCGTCCCGCTTGAAAAGTTTTTAATTAATCTTTGATTATCTATGATACAACAACTTTCGCTCAGCGTATAAGCATGTTTTGTTTGCGTGTAATTTATCGGGAACAAAACACCGCTAATATTAAATTTTTAACTAAAAATATAGAAATAAAAAAATCAGTATTGATATATTAATGGTTATCAATTTAAGCGCTTTGATAGCAGATTAATTGCGAATGTTTTTGGTGAGTGTTGGTGGGCAGTTTCCGTTTCCGCCATTAGAGTAACCATCACAAACGCTGCGAAGTGAGATGTGCTCGACCGCATCCGCGCCAACGTTCCCCCCTGGTGGCCAATAAATTAATCAGCGCTGCCAGTCGCCTCGCCGGGGTGGCGAGAAGGGCCACCTCCGCCGGTGGTAGCGGTGGCGGCAGCGGTGGTTCTATACGAATGTGTGTCTAAACGTGCCCAAGCCGCACGTCTATACATCCATTTTCGGGAACGTTGCCGACGTGCGTTTTCCGTTCATCGTCGGGCGCGCCACTGCGGCCCGCGACCGCCCCCTCACCCTTCTCGATACATCCGGCTCGAACACGCAAAATGCATCACTACGAGTATGCCACGAGCGCACCAATCAAACACGAGTAAAGCCACCCGTGATATATCAATATCAATCCCCTAATATTCGAATTTCGTATTTGTATGCGGTTATTATCCATTTTTATATCGACCTTATGCCTTTTTAGCTGCGATATCGTTCTTAAAATCATACCAATCTAAATTTTCGATCTTATTTTGATGTTTTATACATTATAACCTATAAAACGCATGTATGTATTGAACATAACCTGCAATTACATACATAACCAATTTTTTGTTTATTTGTGCATTTCTACACCGGTGTATATGAAAAGTTATGCCAAATAAACAGTCATTACTGGGCTTTTGTTTGCCGGACTCTTTTTTGAAAAGTTATTCCGTCGTAGTCGTAAAACATCATGAAAAAAATGGAAAAACGAACAAATCGAGGTTGAAATGCACTAAAACGCGTGATACACAGTCAATACGCTGACTTCCTGCTTTTAGGTGGGCAGGCAATGGATTTGGCAGCTCATATTATCTCCGGCTGGAATCCGCGGTTCGATGTGCACAATGTCCAATGTTCGTCATATAAATTTTACAACTTTTAAAAGAGGCAATAAAAAACGGCGCCCGAATGTATTTATATTTATTATTTCTCGCACCTTTCGGACATTTTACACACACACACACCGACGCCATTTTGCCGAATGTACAAGTACACGTATCCGATGTGTCAATAGCGAGCTGTAAATCGTGCGGCAATGCGTCGTAAATCGTGATGGATTATCCCTGCTGTCACACACGGAGACGGCGGTGGCTGCAGCCAGCACGGCTAAAACATTGACATGACCGTTAAAGCGACTCCCGGCATTGGCAAAGCACCATATATCAGGCAAATAATTCCGTACATGAAATGGAAGCCAATTCGACAATTCTCATTGGCTGACTTCCGGGTAGATATTTGTGGCCTAGTATTGAAAGCAGTAATCCAATGTTGAGATACATTGTGCTTGTTTTTTTATTTGTTGCCGCCGGCGAGTGGTTAATTGTGAAAGGTGTGTTTACGATTCTCACCCTCGGAGGAATTCGCGCCCTCAAGAAACTGCCAAGTAAAACGCAAACTTAGGAAAACATCAGTAAATAAAAATACGAGAAAAATCGCTCGGAAATCCGTTGAAAATAAAATATCGTGGAGTAAAAGTAAAGGAGAAATATCGACGCACCCCGAAAGAGACACGAAGCGAACGCTGTGTTTCGCTAAAAACCAAAAGGGAGACGTAAACGTCCCACAATACAGTTACCAGCGCTTGGGAAACGGGAAAACGAGACACCGACTTCCTACTAAACGTCAAATAAAGGTCTTCGCATTGTATGTGTGCAGTGCCTTAAATCAGGATCGCGTTTTTCGCGCAAGCACGCTGTGAAACAAACACGTATCACCATGCATTTTGTTTTAATTTGACAGATAACAATTTGTTTCGTCATGAAGCAATGATAGAGTATGTGTTCATCGCATACCTATACATATTCACTTATTTTTACACCGATTATATCATACGATTTCCATTTTTACACAAAGAATAAACAACAAGATGGTGTTTCCGCATGCGTACAGGACTGAACACAGTGAGACACACACGTCAAACGCTGAGTATGGCGACTACTACGCAAGAGTAATCAGTAAAAAGATTAAAATCCAGCCGGCGTTGCATAAAATCCTTCAACACGTTGATTCCAATCGCAAGCAAATCTTGAGTGACCTTCAAGAGTTTATAAAAATTCGCACAATATGGCCGAATGCAGAGTGTGTCAAAGAAATGGTCCGTATGAAGGATCATATAGAGAAATGGATGCGTAAACTCGGCGCAAAGTATGAATCATTTGACATTGGGTGTCATAAAGTTGGCAATCAAAAGATTAAACTTCCGCCTGTTACTTTGGCAACTGTACGAGGCAGTAGTGATATCACAGTTTGTGTTTATTGCAATGTAGATGTGCGTGATCCGTGCATATCAAAATGGAAGACGAATCCATGGGAAGCTGTCGAAGTCGGTAAAGAAGTTTACGGTAATGGTGTAGTGCTAGGGAAAGGTCCGTTACTCTGCTGGATTGAAGTAATCAATGCTTTTATTCAAGCAAAAGTCCCACTTCCGGTTACGGTCAAGTTTATAATCGAAACCAACTATTTTAATCGCAGTATTGGACTCAAGGATTTCCTAATGACACAGAAACAGATATTTTTACATGATATTGATTATGTGGTCGTGAATGACTCCGAATGGTTGAATGATAAATATCCGTGTATTACATACGGAGTGATTGGTATCGTTCATGTTGATTTATATGTCACAACTGTGGCGAATTCAGGAGAAGATCCAGAAGTTACAATGGAAGAGATTGTGTCGAGGATTTGTAATGGTGACGTGGTGACAATACCACTCTATGATAAGTATGTAACCCAAATTACACCGGATGAAGAAAATTTGTATGAATCGATTAATATTAACTTTGAAGAGATGAAGTGAGTTAAATTTTATTGTTTTTAACAGTTTTAATTGTTTTTTAATGTTTTTAAGGAAACAATTACCTCCAGAGAGGCAAAACTGGTCAAAATCTAAGCTTTTAATGCACTACTGGCGTAAACCAACCATTTTTGTCGATAAAGTAGAGCGCTGCACATGTGATAAACGTGACACTACAAAAATAAAACGACATATAATACTTAAGATTGTTCCGAAGCAAATACCGAAGTTAATTGCTGAATTATTAAAGAATTACATTCTTAATCTGGCGCAGACGTTGAAATTAAAGAACACGGTTGAAGTTGAATATACAACTGATACAAAACCATTTGTTGAAGATTGTCACTCGTTGAATTACGAAGCTGCACGTCGTGCTACCATACAAATATACAAAGAAGATCCGAACATGATACGTGATGATAAAGACCTGAAAAATTTGAATATTCTGGAGATGTTGGAGCGTAACATTTTGATTTTGCCATTGTCTGTCAAAGGCAGTTCTGGCGGTGAAGATAATGAGCACATTCAATTGAAAAACTTGTATGAAAGCATCAAGTTGATTGCGGCGTATTTGTTTCAAGTACGTTTACTGTCTGATGGTTCAAAGTAACGAGCGAAATTTTGCGTGAATTTACAATTTATTCGTATATTTATTGGAAACAAGTGCTGTTAAGGTGGGCGGAATGAGAGATAGCAGAGATGGGGATTGCGTGCGGAGTGTAATTGCTACGATTGTATTATTATCGAAATAATTATACGTCATTCGTTTTATTAATGTTTTTAATTAGTTAATTAAGTGAATGGCCCGGCGCGCAGCCGCACGTGTGCGTGTAAAGCGTATTTGTTGTGTGTGCTCGTTTGCGGCTTGTTAAAGGTGTGGCGTTTACGCAGGCACGCAAAGGCAAAACATTTTTTTAATGATTTTTTTTTCGTCTTTGGATTTTTTTAACGAAAATTCACCAAAACACAAAAAAACAACTAGAAATCGAAAAACTTATTTTTGAGGTTATTTTATTTGTTTGGCAGTTGTATAACCTAACTTAACCTAAAAAATGATGAAATTTTGCACTTTTTGCACTTTGCGTGCTTTAGACGAGCCTCTGGCGTGTTGACCATGGTGTATAGATGCAACGATGGATAATACGAAGCGCATCAGATAATATAAATGAGTGTTAAACGTGGCCACGTGGCCGTGGCACGCACCGCAGCCGGAAATTACTGTTTGTCTCTCTGTCCGGTCGGTTCCCCCGAAAAAAATATACCCCGTGCACACAGAAGCGCACACTTTAGGTGTACGAGTTGAACTGTTCGTATTTTTTTTCCTCTGTGGTGCGCGCAGTGGGCAGTAAAAAAACCAAAAAGCGGCAAACGAAAAGTTGCTCTTTGTTTCGACATGCCGGCGAGCGCACACTGACAATAAAATGTCACCTATTTCTAAGTGTATGTCGGCTAGCCGACATCTGTTCCCCGAATGCTCGACAACGTGCATAATCACAAGCGAACACGAAAAAAAGACGAAAAAAAAAGAACGAACGAAAACAACGCGCGCCAGACACGCGATGCACATTGTTTTTAATTAGTTATATTAATACGCTCGTTTAAGTAAATCTTAAGTTTATTCATGAGGATAAAATGAGCCATGGTGCGTGTCAAATAACTGTCAGAGAAATAATTTTAATTCAACTCAAATTATTTTGCTTTCATTTGATTTATTTTTCGTGCTTTATTGTGGAGTAAATGTTAAATATCTATATATACATAATTTATTTGTTTGCGGAAAAATTCAATGCGTAATTTAAAATCATTTAAAAGCTTTGCTCGTATCGCCGTGTTTATATTATTTTTATTCATTGTTTATCATTCCAATTCATATAAAATGTGAATGCGAAACAAATTACACGTACAATTATGTGCATACAGGTCTAAATTTACTATGGTAAATGTAAAATGGCGCAAATATTAATGATTTTTGCGCCGGCGAGCGAAAATTTCAATTTTAATTTCAGAACGTGCGTCAAATATTAAAAATGAATTAAATAATATGTATTGAACGCGTTGTGTGTGCGTTGTGTGCGAATAATAATTGAAAAATGATCAAACGGAGACTATGGGTCTCGCTACGGGTGATTTTTTAAATGAAAATCTAAATGGAACTCACATTGATGACATTTCAACCACGCGACGAGAGTGTCCATTGCCGATGGCTGTGATTTCAAGCTATCACGGCTTCCAAACTCGTTTATTAATTAATTGACATTTTTTACATTGTGTCTACGTTGTGAGCGAGCGGTGAGTGCAGAGGTGCGTAAAGCATCATTAATTTAATTAAAGCTTTGCCATGCTTTGTCAGCGCGCATATTTTTGTATAGAAAATCGAATTATTTAATAAAACACAAAAATCACACTCAATAAATACCTGAAACATATTTTATACTTTGTTATAGTCAATGTCAATATCTAGGCATTTGTACAAACAGTGTATGTTAAGTTGCATACTGTAAAGGAGTAAAAATGTGTTTTAAATTTGATTATTCACGTCAGCATTGACACATGAGTAGAAACGGTGTATGTTAAGTTGTCTACATTAAAAGAAGTAAAAAATATCGTGCATAAAGACTGATTAATTGCTGGTTGGTGACATTTGCAAAGTAAAACCTTGAATGCCCGAATGCAAAAGAGGTTTTTGATTACTTTTTGAAGTGCGTCGCTGGCGTACATCGTGCGCCATTGTTATAGATTGCTAAGTGCATATGGGACTCAATGGTTTTATTATTATACCCTTTGGGATTTCGTCACTATACAGCTCAAGTTGAATTCTAGACTATTACCCTTCGATTTAAAGCATCATTCAAATATCACCCGAAGAAAAACGCAATCAATCATTGTGTGCCAGAAGCGACTTGTCTTAACAATACTTAAGTCACTTTCATTACACTTAAATTAAACTTCGTGTAATTTGTGTTAATTCCTTCAAAAATCGTCATCAGTGACATCTCATTAGTTGCATGCGCAATGATAAATTGTATTGAAGGTGTGAGGTTGTTAGATTCGTAATGAATAAATTAAGCTTAACGTTTTTCGCATCGTCCGAGCGTAACCGAAGCAATCCATCTTCTTCATTTCATTATTTTTTTCCTACGTTGTGTTCGTACTCATCTATCTAATCCAAATAGAACTAATTAGCCATCACATGCCGCCACATTTTTATATTAATGGCGGTTGAGTGATAACATCAGGCCTCCAGCGGTGACTACGCAACCATTAAAATATAGAAAATTAGGTAGTATATTTGTGCGTTCCGGCGATGGGTGACCACACATGCGAACCATTCATTAGCAATCAACTGCGAAAGAAAGCCACACATTAACAATATCCTACAAAATATAAAAAAACATTCTATGTCACATTCAATTAGCGAACGTGGCTCATTTTTGTGGTTATGTCTGTGTGGTAATTATTTGCTCGTGTGTAATTATCCGTATGTGTCGTGTGGGTTGCATAACTGAATGCGTAATATCCGGCGGGCGAATTTCGAAATTACGAAAAATGATTAAATGGCTTCCTGCTTACCGCCACCCGGGGGGTGGGTGGGCACGCGGTGAATATTCGTGTCGCGACAGATACGCATAATCTTCACTTTGTGATTTTCTCAATGCCAATGTGCGGGCGCATTAGCGAATGTAAAAGCAAAGCCCAGCAGCATGTTATGGATACAACATAGATTTAGGGGGAGTCTGGCTGGTCCTGAAGTCGGGGGAGAGTTAATCGAAGGGGGACCTATTGACCTTGGCGAATGAGCGACCATCAGAGGAGATTTGCTCTTCTATTGAAGCGATGCACGCGTATAAAGAGCACACAAAAGCCTCTGTGGATTAATTTGGACGGAATTCTTTGAAAGCTTCTGCGCCTGCGATGATGCAAACTAGCCGGTGGTTTAGTTAACGCTACTAACATCTTTTCATTAGTGTTGCAATCTTCTTGCAACAATATTGAATATTAAAGTTGTGGGAGGTAAAAAATTGCAATGTAAAGATGTAAGTACTTAAAGCTCTATCAAAGTAAATATCCTCCCCTACAATTTTGATATATGCCAAAGGCGTCAGTGCTAAATGCATATTGCGCTTTGATTATCCATAGGCAGGATTTAATCAACCCTCTTTTTCACACATCACGCTCACAATTTACTTTATAATCATTTACTAAATGAAAAATCAACTATAAAGCTATTATTAGAGGTTATAACTGTATTCTGACATATTATGAAGCTTTTTTGAGGTTATGATGCTGTTGTTGCTGAATATATAACATTTATTGTAAATAACAACATAATTTAAGGATATTCAAGCGAAATAAAATTATAAATCGGTAATAATGTATATTAATTAGCTATCCACCGATTAAACATGCAATTAGCGGCGCTCACACAAAGTAAATTATAATAAAACGCAAATTTCGCGAATTATTATTCGCTGGCGCTGGCAATTTTGCATTTGGTAATTTTTTAAGCGCACTGCACGCTCGTGATTTAACGTGATAACCGTGATAACCGTTGAAAGTCACGCTGCGCATATAAATTCGTAGGTTTCTCCTCGTTTTAAGTAAATATTACGAGCGGTAGTACGTTGCCAGGCGTGCACATTTTGTTGACCCATTAGTCGGTTAAAAATGGACGAAAAATTAATAAAAATATAGCGGTTGCGGGCGTTGTGTTTTTTTTCGCATTTTTTATTATGATGGAGGATGATCTGGTTTTAATGTGACCAGAGTAAAAATGTATGTAGGCCATTATACAAGCGTGTACTATGTGTTGGCTGCGCATCAGGCGTACCAACCCCGTTGCCGTGCGTTGATTTTTTGTTTGTTTTGTGTTTCGTTTTTTGTCTGTGCGGTATGCTGCAGAAATGAAATGATGGCACGATATCCCTCGAGATTAGGCACGTACCGGCTAGAGCAGTGATTTAGTATAATTTAGGATCATTCTTATTGGTACGAAGCGCAATTTATTACCCTTATTGCACGCGGCGGCGCTGATGTGCGCGTTACATCCATTAGTTTCTTTTTGTGTCAACACCGCGTGAATTTTTGTTCTCTTGATAAACCAACGATACGAGATTACATTACGATGAGATTACATTCTCTTGTACTACTTACCACAACGTTTGAGTGGAATTAATACTTATATTAACGTATATTCGAACGAATACGCTTGCAATTTCAACATAACCTTCACATTTGTGCTGAGTGTAAGTTAAAAAATGTGCTCTCTTCGGTGGTCGGCGCGCCGTTTGCGAAGGTGAGTTTAATTTATTACGAGTTCCTGTGTTCTAAATTTTACGAGCACACACACCGCACTCGCCTCAACGATGGCCGATGTTGCGGCTGATTCGGGGTCACCCCGCGAGATAATTTATGAGGGTTATATAAACCTCGTAATTAATTCTGTTTTCGGTTGCTGTAGCGATGTGTGTGTGCGGATGCGGCTTCGGGCAATACTAGAAAGCAATATACAGCGAGGGGTAGAGGTAGTGTCAGTGTGGCCCTTTGAAAGACTATGCTGTTACTTTAATTAATTGTCATTGATATCCTCATTAACATTCGACAAAAATTTAGTACCTCGACGCACGAGTCCGGATAATTACTGACTTTTAATTGCTACGATTTTCCAACAGAAGGTTATTTTAGTATATTCATAGTTAAATCTAATATATTTTTGTTATTTTTTGCATGTCATAGATATAAATATCCGCAATATATGCAACCAGTTATACACC